TAAATATCAGAATTGTACCTACTTATTTTACTTTTCCCAACCCGAAAACCAATTGTTATTTGGGGGGTTAATCATTTAATGACCTCTCCCGCCTAGGGTGAGACGGAAGGGAGTATCAGACTCTTACTGACTAAAAACCACCCCGTTCCTACTTCTGCTCTTCGAGCCGAACCCCAGCAACCCTTTAAGTCGTCCGAGGCTCTGCATCGGCATCAGCCACATTGAGCCCCATCTGTTGTGGTCTGATGGCTCTTTAAGATAACCATAAACATGGTAGTCTGCTAGTAATAAAAAAAATAATATATTTACCCGTGTGTACGAGAAGCGCGCGAGAGGTTAACTGTTTAAAAATAATATGTTTATTAACTGTTTTTATCGTTAGACTCGACTTTTCGTAGAGTTTTGTAAATAAGTTTTTCGTAGTTTCGAAGTTATATGATGATCACAACTATGATTTTAATGCAATACAAAACTGAATTGTTATTAATATTGTTCTTTTTTTTGTCCAACAGAAGACGATGGCACATCCACAGACGAAGCCACCAACCAACTCCGGCAACTGATGTACAACAATCATCCAAAACTAGTATAGTTCTAATATCGACCTTCTTACCTTATCACACGAACTATTTTCATACTTCAAACAATGACTATATCAAACCTGGCTATAAATATAATCTAAGCTTTTGAAACACACTTTCATTCCTTCTCAATTTCTAGAAATTAATGTAAATAATATGTATAAGTATAAAGTATTCTAGTTGTAAGTTATTTTGTATCTTATTATTTATTTATTATAATCATCGTCGTTAGTTATAAATATATTTTTATATATTTTGTAACTAGCGTTTATTTTTTATATAAGTATTATAAAGGTGAAATATCATATAATTTTGTGGGGAAGTCTGAAAACCTTAGAGATTTCAAATCGTGTAACCATTACATAGCCGTGAGGTCGTTGACTTGGCTATTTACTGAATTTTGTATGTCACCTACGCAGCGATGTTATTTGCCCTGGCTGGAGGATTTGTAAAGAAATGTATTCAAATACCACTAAACCTAAACGTATCCACGATTGGGGAGCAACGACCCCACGAATACATGAATTGATTGAGACTAATATTGTATCCAGCCAGCCAAGATAAACGGCTCTGTGTTATTGTGTGTGCTTTTATTCGTCAAAATAATGACTCAATAAAAAGTACAAATTAATATATTTTGTGTCTATTATTTACAATTTTAAAACCATTTTAAGCATAAACAATATTTATTAGTGTTATCACAAGACAGAAGTCTGTGTCAATGTCATCAAAAGAATGTTTATTATGAGACAACAATCTTGATAACGTTTAATGTTTAAATTCGAGTTATTTAGATAATGAATGAGTAATACAGTATTTCAGTATATCTTTACATGAAGCCTGCAACGAAGACCAGTAATATAAAATGCCTTTATGAAAATTGGACGTAGAGACTAAAATGTGGTAGGTAATTGACGATTTTAAATTAACTGAACATATTTTACTACGTACGACTACTCTGTGCCCTCATTATGGGTACCTATTAAAAGAACTGAATAAGATAAAGTCCTTTTGTATTCCAAGGCGACGAACAATCTAAGGTTAACGACCTTTGATTAGTGTAGACTGTAGACCCATATCAGCTGTTGACCAACTCTTTATTTAACCGGTTGAAAATTGCTGAAAATCATCCCCTAAATTTGTTCATACAAAAGTAGTTTCTTGGAAATAAGGTCTATAATGTAGTTAGTGGAGAGCGGTCACCGGTGACCGTTTGAGGATATACGGATAAGTTGCCACAGTTGAAACACACGTTGTTTATGTTTATTTTACTAACGCACAAATACTAAAACGCTACTCAATTTTTTTTAAATTGTACTTAAATATCGTGCCATCTCTGTTATTTTACAACGAATTTGTAGAGACAGAACTATATTAAAACGCGATTTAAAATTGAGTAACGTTTGAGTATTTCGTCATTAGTCCAGTAACAAAAAGAAATCAAATAATAATAGTACCGTTGCCCCTCTGTTGCTATATCTAGCAACCATTCCCGGGGTCCGGTCGGTGAGTTGGCGAGTCTCCGCCTGCCATTTTTATGTGTAGTAATTACACTGTTTCGGCAGGTGCCATAGTCACCCATAGTTCCCAATTTACCAGTCCTTCTCTTTTCCAATTATCCACAATAGTTCCACACAAACCGGGGACTGTCCTTGGGTGCATTTCCATAGTGCATACAGGGATAGTCGCCGGTTTGGTGTGTCCATTACATTTATATTAGTTGTCTAAAGGGCCTCTACGCAGTTGGCTTCGGCCCCTCGTACGCTTCCCAAATGACCGGGACCCTGTGGTCCCGTGAATGGTAGAGACATACATAATAATAATACAATAATATTCTTTGATCTAAAAGATAATTTCTGCCAATTTACACATCAAGGCGGAATATAAAACTAACAACAGTTACTCTTGAAAATATAAAATACTAGTAGACCGAGTTTACAGCAAGTCCATGAATAAATAATATGTAAACAATAGCCAACTGGTCATGGACTATTCTATTTTGAAGTTTTATGTGTTAGTAATCATTCTTTACGTTGCGTGGTGCGTCTGCGTCTACATATCAAATTAAACCAGCAGCTGATATTGTTAGAAGTCATAAAGCTACGGCAATTGCAATCTGGGCTAACCGCTGTATGACTGTATTATTTATATAGGTCTGCTTTACTAATGGCCTGAAACTTTTAAAATTAATACACGATCTGCAAACAATAGAGAGAGAGTTAGAGTTCCATAACACGATATACAAACAAAAAGATTTTTCTTTTTTAATAACTACTCCTTGTTAGTTGGAAACAATTATGTCGTGTTTACTATTTAATTCAACCTTTTAAATGAGAGTATTTTGTTGTAAATCTACTTATTTTTATAAGTTACAGAAGGTACTATAAAACTAACTCTATAATTAGTATCTGTAATCCTTTTGTTAAGCTATCTGTTTATGATCTCTGAGTAAGTAGTTCTGTTAATCCTCCTTGCATTGAAGGCTGGTAGTGTCTGTCATCTGCATCAGTGTTTCAGCAATCATATATTGCAACAAAATTGATACCATACACCTGAAGGCGTTGCTCAAATTGTACTCTTAGGCCTACTGTGACAACCTCCGGTTACCACAGGCCTGCGGTTACCGGAGCTCCGGCTTAAAGCAGGAGTCTGATGGTTCTTTGAAACACATACTAATCGCGATGCATTATAGAGGTACACTCGGATCTGGTTCTAGTTGAAGCTGCAAGTCCATGTTTGCGGTGGCCGGAGATAATCTCGCAAGCCCCGACAACGGGAGTGCCTCCCGCGACCCGCTTCCTCCTTAGCTAGCATAACTACTTTGAAGAAGGACGAGATGGCATTCCTATCCCTCTCTTTCCGTACCATGGCCTGAGCCCGGACCAGATGCGAGAAGTCACCGATCGCTATATCGATAATTTTCCCTCCTAAGAAAAAAAGTTATACTATTCATGACATCGTCGGCGAAAAGGTCATTTGACGAATTCATACTGCCTACGAATGACGATATTTGTATGATAATAGCTTAGCCTGGACCTTGCCATTCCATAGGAATAATTTTTTCAGTATTTATACGCAAAATGGAAGCATTCGTTTTAAAATCATCAATGGACGAAGGTGTCCACATGAAGTGCAGCATACGTAGACAGTGTAGGAAACACCCGAAGATGGGTACGGAATGTGAAGTGTCTCGTAAAGTTTATTTAGGGGTTCAAGGATTCGCAGACCTGGAACAAGTAGACTACAAGCATTTCATTATGCAACCGTCGTCTCAAAGTTGTTTAGCTCCAGTTCCAACTGCGTAATGTGCGACGAGACAAAGTCAGTCACTGGATATTGAGGCGAAGACTAAAGATTTCGTACAAAGCTGCAACTGGCACTAAATTATAAATTATTAATTAAATTTAAAAAAAAACTTGTAAAATGGTTCCACGGCGAATCAATACTACATGTTTTACCACGAAATAAATTAAATTAACATTGTTAAACATCTGTCGGTGAATACTCATCATAACTTCAATGGTTTAAATTAAAGTACATATTTTAACGTTTATTTTTTGTTTCCAGGCATTTCCAATATAAGAAATTTCCCTTATCTCGAACTATTGTTGCACCGAATTTCACTAAAATAGTTGTAGTCGATTAAAAGATAGAGTATTCTGGAATTTCAACACATAGTTCGTGTTATTTCTTGTAAGAATTCTAGGATACAAATTATCTTACACCCTTTCCAGGGCATCAAACTTTCGTTGTACCCAATTCCACTCTAATAATTTTAATGATTTAAAAAATATAGCAAGTCCCTGGATTTTAACACATATTATTTCAAATAGCTTCAGAAGCACAAAAGAGAGGGAGTCCCGGGGATTTCAATGCATAGTTCCCATTTTTTGGGCTTTTCCGGGATTAAAACTAGCCTTTATTAATAATCTCAAATAGCTTTAGTAGTTTACAACATTTCAAAGTGTAGTTCCCAAAAACTATGTTATGTTTTTTACCAAATTTAATCTATCTTTGCACCAAACATTCAAATTGGTTTCCAGGATGCAAACTATGCCTTTTCTCGGTCCCCAAGCTGTTTCTGTGCCAAACATCAAAACCGATTTAGTGGTTTAGACGTGAAGAATATCTCTTCTTTATCGATATCTAGACAGAGAGACAGACAGAATTACTTTTGCATTTATAATAATACTAGGGACCCGCCCCAGCTTTGCACGCGTGCAACATGCATGTATTATACGTATAAACCTTCCTTGAGAATCACTCTATCTATTAAAAAACGGCATCAAAATCCGTTGCGTAGTTTTAAAGATCTAGGCATACATAGGGACAGACAGACGTTGGATAGCGACTTTGTTTTATACTATGTAGTGATAATTGAGTATGGATAGTAATATTAAAGCACTTAATTCTTGTATTTCCAGTTGCATATGCAATATCTTTTTGCAAACAGTCTTTGGAGGGTTGTGTTTATTTTTCATACTTATCACACTTTTTTATCTGGGACTGTCATTAATTGGAACATTTGAATGGGCACTGTCTGGCAGTGGTATATAGGAAGGTACGTACCTCATTGTTCTTTTTTTCAGAATCAAGTGGGTTAGTAACACGTGTTTTACGATTCATAGACTAATCAATATAGTAATAATATATTTTACGATTTACTCTAAATTACAAAACGATGCAACAAATTTTAGTACGCCCTTCATCATTGAGAATTATTTTATTTTCATTAAATACCCTCTACTACCTGCGTACTGCGTAAATCGAGATGCATCCAACCAGTCAAGTTATTTTTTTGCTTTAGAGGTAAACGAATATAGTACGTATTATTTAATAGATAGCGTTTAGTATATAAAGAAAAATAAGGTTAAAATCTTGTGTTTATCACTTTGTAATTCAATTCAAATAATTTATTTCAGATACACCATATAAATGTGTTAATAGTAAATAGTTTACAACTTAGTTTAATGTTCATAAATTCAATTAGATATAATAATTAACCAAATGAATATTGCTACACCAGTTCAACGGACTAATAGGACATTTGAGTCTGGATACTTATCCACCTTTGTGGCGGTATGGCCACGAGGATCGGCCGTCGCGCGGTTGCAATTCCCTTGATACATTTCGCCAATCGCCGCTCTCTGTTGCTTGATCAGTACATTTTTTTATGTGTTTATTTCAGTCGCTAGACGCCTCATCGGTCGCACCGCGTGGATTTTCGCTAGGGCAAATATTTCTTGGCCACACTGTAAGATGGGTAAGTATCATCTGCCTGAAAACACATTCAGGAGAAAGTGAAAAAGAGTGCAGACGCATCGTGGAAGCACATCATTCCGGTATGATCGCAGCGAAACCATTAACATGGCATTAGCGAACATCCCCGATGTACTGCATCGGCACGGCAACCCCAAAAACACCCTGAATGCGTTATTGTACTGTACATGTAAGTCGCTGTATACCTGCTGGATATACCTTTACCACAGGCTGCATATGTAAAATAATTGACAGAAGGCCTTAAGAAGCGTTATTTTCATAAAGTCAGTACAAGCTGTGGGCCAGCTAGCAGCAACGGACAACCCGCGACCTGCGTTTCGTTTAAGTTGTTAGTGACCTAGTCACCCAACAAACACTTCAATTTTGAAACCCGACTCAAAGTAAACCCAGATAATGAGAGCTCAGACAGCTGCTTATCCTCCTGCCTCACCGAGGCGGGAGAAGTCAATCGATGATTTTCCCCCTTTGAAAAAAAATGGCAGCTGCTTTAATCCATTAAGAAGAGTTCAAATTCTTTATATTCAGTATTTCACATTTATGTTTATCGAGTGTTATACAATACATTGAGAAAATGTCGTTTTCGCCCCACGGCAAAACTATTTGCTATAAAGAGTACCTACTTTCGATGCATAAAGTAATAAAAAAAAATAAAGATGTCGATTTTATTACTTAAAAAAACATACTATTTTATGGGATAAGCCGGTAAACGCGCAGACCGATCACCTGATGGTAAGCAATCGTCGCCGCCCATGGACACCTGAAAAACCATAGGCGTTACAAGTGCGTTACCGGTCTTTCGAGAATTGGGAATTTGAGGATTTTAGGAGATTGGGGGATTGGGGAGACTGGGTAGGGGGGTAATTGGGCCTCCGGTAACCTCACTCACACGACAAAACACAGCGTAAGCATTGTTTCACGACGGTTTTCTATGAGGCCGTGGTATCGCTCCGGCCGAGCCAGCCTATTCGTGCCTACGCAAGGCTCTCCCTCATTTATAATTGACTTAAGCACATGCTTTTTATAATAGTTCATCGGTTGTTTTAACACACTTTTGTTTGGTCGCCGTATATGTCAGTCAGTAGTTAAGTTCCTATGTAATAGAATCTATGGTATCGAATTCAACAATCTTCTAAGGATCGTGGCGTTATAGAAAGTTGACGATATTAGGGCACGTTAGTACATTTTTTTAAGGGGGGAAAATCATCGCATTACTTCTCCCGCCTGGGTGTTGTGGAAGGGAGTGTCAGACTCTTACTGACTAAAAACCACCTCGTTCCTACTCTTGCACTTCGAGTCGGAGCCCCGTTAACCCGTTAGGTTATCCGTGGCTCGGGCATATTGGTACTGCGGTGACATAATTCAACTCTTGCGCTTAGTCATAGTCAAGATTCTCATAGAAACGTGTCAATCCAAAACCTTTTTGCAACGTTCTTGGCTTTTGCTTTATTGCTCGATATTTTATGGATACTCTTTACTGTATATTAGAAGTATGGGCTCTGTCATCTGTCAGCTTAAAAACAAAATGTCAAAACTGTTGTATTATTCTGTAAGTACTTGCTTGCTCTAATATAATTAAGAGTTGATTGGTTTATCTCAATGATAAATCAGTAGCTTTTAAGTAGGATTAGAAAAAAGATAATGCAAGCTTATGAACGTTGGGTGCGGCACTGTGGGTGGGATACCAAAATGCATGTTTAAAAAGACATTTAGATTTGGAAAAATATAAAGACTCCATTTTATTATAACAGTATTCGCCAGCTGTGGATGCATTATAACAGAGAATTAATCTAAGCCGCATAACAAAAAATTCATTTAAAATCGGCTATCACCAATTCACCATGCATGCAACAAAGATATATAAAGTAGAATAGGAACAACTTTTTGTGTGATCCACATTGTTTTTCGGAATCTGGGTGTCACGTGTATATTGTATAAGTGAAATTATATGTTTCTAATAGCCTAGGAAATTAATGGTTTAACGTCGGTATGTGAGATAGTCGGCTAAAAACTTGTCCAAAGTCTTTATTTTGACAACTTAGAATTTGAGATATTCGGCAGGTAACTTATGAAAAGTCTTTTTTTACCATAGTATAGATATAGATAGCATAAATATCTACAGACGCATCTTTATAGACGCGGATACCTTACGAGGTAGGTTCTGAGACAAGTACAGTTACTATAGTCAAAGAAATACTTTTCATATTTTTCCAGCCGAATATCTCAAATTCCGAGATCCTTTTCTTAACTACACTTATTTTCCCAGATTATAAACGCACCCACGACACAGGAGAAAATCCTAGTGTGGGGCAAATGTTTTCTAAACAAAAAAGAAAGAGAAAGAAAAAAGATGTTGCATATTTTTCTTTGACATTCATAAAATATCCAGGTTTCTCTCTACAAACATTTCGAAGCCCGATTGGATCGTGGAGAAAGTGTATTCTTGTGGGAGAATATTCCAGGAGCATTCAAAATATGGTAAGTTTCAATAATCTCGGATATTACATTTTCCAAATGAGTAATTAACAAACCAGTTAGATTCCGTTATAATAAGACATGATAATACTAAGACCAAGTGGTCGCAAGTGAGTCTTGACAATTGGACCCGGGAAAGTATTACTGGGGATTTTTAAGAAATTCTCAGTATTAGCACGGAGTCTGCAAATGTGCCCGGTATATGACAATAGGCTCACCCCCTATTACATGGGACTCATGACATAAATAGTAAAAAGTGGGTATTACATTGCATAGTGGCATTAATTGCCGTGATATGCACCTTTGCCTACCCCTTCGGGGATAAATGGTGTGATGTTATGTTTTTTTATATATTAGATGGGACTGACGTTTGACCAATATCTCGCCTGGTGGTAAGCGATGATGTGGCCGACGATGGAGCACGTCGACCCATAAGCAATCTATTCACTCGGGCCTTGAAGACACCCAGGTTATATACCCTTCAGGAAATATAGACTCTGGCAAATAATTTCACTCCAGCAGTACGCACAAGGAAGCTTATTGCGAAGCGCTTCGTGCGTGTGGGTGGGACATGTACCATGAATCGGTGACGCTTCGCCGATTGTCTTGTCGTACGATGATGGAAAGGACTAGGGGGAATCAAGTTGTGCAATTCCTTTATTTTAGTATTATACCTCTGATGTTATGTTATATGCTTAGATAAAATACTTTAGAATAAAGTGCCTGGCTTAGACCCTACAATGAAACCTGAGTGTTGCTGAATAGCCCGAACTAGAGTAAATGTTCAAATTTATCGGTTAATCTTAATACTTAATTAAAATATTAAAGATTTTAATATCAGTCTGTACATTTCCAGCGACAAGTCAACTATCCAAATAATCAGCTTTGTAGTGGCATGTCTTCTCGTTTTACTTGCCGGTGTGTGTATATGGTACTTCTGGCCAAATCCTGTGGATTGAACGGTAACTACAAAGATGGTATTTTTATTTACGGGTTATTCATCAATTATTCAAAACGTTGTCTTTCCAGTGCCTTTAGCCAAACGCCACTTTAGAGCTTATCTACAGAGAGAGTTGAAATCAAAATGTATGGGGATGACACTGACAAGTGTCGAAATTTACGTCAATCCCATATAATTTGGTTTTCTATTCTACATGTAGACAAGCGCTAAATGGCATTTGGCTACCGCTGCCGGACAAATAAAATCTAGGAGTTGGGCTTTTGGATTAACTCCGTGTTATGGGTGCATTTACAATCATACAATTTCTCATACACATCACACCCAGACCCGAAACAATAATTGAATTAATTACAGATTGTTATTCCGGTTTTTGAAACATTCTTCCACACTAGGATTTTTCCTGTATCGTGAGTGCGTTTACAAATGTACGATTTCACAAACACATGACACCCAGACACGAAATAACAATTTGTAGATCACACAAAGAGTTGTTTTGTGCGGGAATCAAACCCGCTACACGTTGCACGGCAGCCAGTTCCCCAGCCACCATGTTAACCGTGCAGTCTGTTATAGAGTTGATGTTTACGAGCAATTATGATTGTAAACACACACATACAGGAGAAATTCTAATGAGAAGCAACTTTAATCAAAATGTTAGTAAATACCAACAACATATGTATATAGGTGCATACAACATCTATCCTAAGTAAAATTATACACTTGGGAGCAAAAAAATGGAACCACTAGCGTTTTTTCATTTCTAAATAATTATTTTCTGATACAAGTGTTTTATAAATTGGTAACGTATGCTGTAAAAATGTAATTTAGTTACCGTTGAAATGAGAGCATTTTGTTGTAAGAGGTTTTTTTTGTAGTTAGGTTCGACAAAATGGAAACACCGCTAGTGGCTCTTTTTCTTTGCCCCTAAGTGTATTACTTTCATTTCACTAATAATTATTATATAATTAGAAGGATGTATAGTGAAATGAAAGTACCATTATCATCTATAGATAATATCAGTTTAACGACTCGGACAACTTATAATCAACCTCACATTAATGAGAGTTAAATTTAAACTCAATTGATATTACTTGTCTACCTTATGACACCGAGAATCAATTCAATGTTGTATAGAAAATGGTATTAGAGGAAAGTTGGTCTGTGAAAGACAATGTTTTACGTACAAGACTTCCAAGTACAAAAAAATAACAAAATATTTGCCGCCTCGAAAAGAAGTGAAAATACATTCAGTGTAATTATCTGCAAGAATAATGTGAAGGAAAATATATCGAAATATTCCCTAGTGGTTGCTGCTAAACCTTTGAATTACTTTATGTCCTTGTTCGGATCAAAATTGGTGTCTTATAAGAAAAATAAGATAACTAGTGTCTCACTCTTCAATAAGCTTTACGCATTATGCCTCATCGCAGTTCATCTATTTATTGTTTTAGCAATATATAAACCACGAAGCTGGATAGATACAAGATCTGATGTTCCTCTTAACGTATTGACAAAAACATATGGCATATTATCCATTATTGAAGGCGACTATTCTATTTTCTGTATCGCCATCTTTAATTCACAATATTTTGTCGAACTTTTCAATAAGTTGGATGAACTTGATACTGTTTTTCATGTTTCAAAAGCAGTATTTACAAGAAGACGGATTTTGTCAACGTTTTTGGTCATTCTACCAGTAGCACAGTTGCTCAGCACATTTTGGTTGAGAAAGTTTAACATACAAAATATTGGTGCGCATATAAATTTCTTTTTTCTAATGTTACAAGGATCAATTTTTTACTTTGTCATTGTAAATATTTATGTTAAACTCCTCATGCTAAATGCACTTCTAATGAAAATACTGCGAACAACGATGTCGAAACAAAGGGAGATAATATTTAAAGATACCGTTTGTGACTGGATCATCAAGGTAATTGATTCCAAATATTTTGTTCAATTGTATTGTCAAGGTTTCGTATTGATAATTTATTCTATTACATACGAGATATATTTCCTCAGAAGGACATATTGCTGGCCTCACAAATGGCATGCTGTCTAACCCAAATTCAAATGCAATAAAATATTTAGTTGAACGCAACAAAGTCTTGTAGGTATATTATGATGAGAACTCGTCTATTTACGTGATTCAATGGGACAATATAGCTAAAATATCCATTACAGAGTGTTTGCGTGGAACCGAAAATAGTAAGAGGAGATCAACATTCCTGGTTTGAATTGATGCAAATTTATGACAAACTAGCTGATTGCGTACATCTTTTCAATGAAATATATTGCGGTCAGGTAAAAATGAATATTGGAAAATTCTAATTTTAGAGCACCATTTAATTTCTATTTGTCATATTAAAAATTATTGATTTCAGATATTTTTTATGTATAATACTTGGTTGTTGGGTACGCTATTGACAATTTGTCGTTCGTTATCACCTTCTCTTAAAGTAAGTTAATAATAATTTATGTGTAAGATATTTTATTGTGTTACCCTTTTATGTAACCACTACTGAGAAAATGTAAGTCACGCAGATAACATAACATAGCACGGCATGGCATGGCATGGCGAGGTATGGTATGACATGGAATGGCGTGGCATCGCATGTCATAACATATCATACCATTGCATAGCCTTATATAGCATTGCATTGCCTTGCATAGCATTGCATAACATTGTATTGCATAACATTGCATTGCACAGCATTACGTAGCATTGCATTGCAAAGGACAGCACAACATTGCATGGCGTGGCGTGGCTTGGTTTGGCATGGCATGGTTTGGCATAGCATGGTTTGGCATGGAGCGGCATGGAGTTGCATTGCATGGCATGACATGGCTTAGCTTGGCATAGCATAGCATTGTATAGCATAGCATGACTCAGCATAGCATAGCATCATATTGCATTGCATAGCATTACGTAGCATTGCATTGCATACCACAGCACAGCATAGCATTGCACGGCGTAGCATGGCATGGTTTGCCATGCCATGGTTTGGCATGGAGCGGCATGGAGCAGCAAGGAGTTGCGTTGTATGACATAGAATAACTTAGCTTAACATAGCATAGCATAACATAACACAGCATAGCATATCAATGCATAGCATAGCAATGCATAGCATAGCAGAACATGGCATAGCATGGCGTAGAATGGCGTAGCATAGCGTACCATGGCGTACCATGGCGTAGCATATCTTAGCTTATCGTAGCATGGCATGGCATGACATGGCTTTGCATGGCATGGCATTGCTTTGCATGGCATGGCATTCCTTTGCATTGCTTTGCATGGCATGGCATGGCATGGCATGGCATGGCATGGCATGGCTTTGCATGGGATAGCATAGCATAGCATAGCATAGCGTAGCGTAGCATAGCATAGCACAGCATAGCATAGCATAGCATAGCATAGCATAGCATAGCATAGCATAGCATAGCATAGCATAGCATAGCATAGCATAGCATAGCATAGCATAGCATAGCATAGCATGGAATGGCATTGCATGGTTTTGCATGGCATAGCATTGCATGGCTTTGCATGGCATGGCATGGCATGGCTTGGCATGGCATAGCATAGCATGGCATGGCGTTGCATGGCATAGCATAACATGGCATGGCATGGCATGGCATAGCATAGCATGGCTTGGCATACATAGCATAGTATAGCATAGCATAGCATAGCATAGCATAGCATAGCATGGAATGGCATTGCATGGTTTTGCATGGCATAGCTTTGCATGGCTTTGCATGGCATGGCATGGCATGGCATGGCATGGCATGGCATGGCATGGCATGGCATAGCATAGCATGGCATGGCGTTGCATGGCATGGAATGGCATGGCTTTGCATGGCATAGCATAGGATGGTTTTGCATGGCATAGCATGGCATGGCATGGCATGGCTTTGCATGGCATGGAATGTCGTTGCCTGGTATGGCATGGCGATGTATAGCATAGCATGACATGGCAAGACGTTGCATGGCATGGCGTGGTTTTGCATGGCATAGCATAGCATGGCGTTGCATGGCATGGCTTTGCATGGCATAGCATGGCATGGCATGGCATGACTTTGCATGGCATGGAATGGCATGGCAAGGCGTTGCATGGCATGGCGTGGCGTGGCGGGGTATTGCATGGCATGGCATGGCATGGCACGGCATATCATATCATACAACACAACATAACAGCATACTATAGCATAGCATAGCATCACGCCTATTATCCCCAAAGAAGTAGGCAGAGATACACAACTAATGCAACTGTACAAAGTGTTTTCCTTCTTTTCACTATTTATGTTATGAGTTCCATGTAATAGAGGGTGAGCCCATTACCATAATTATGTCGGGCACAATTCCAGACGCCATATTACTACAGAGGTCTTTTTAAAAACCCCAGTAATACTTTACCTGACCTTTGAATCAAACTCGAGAGCTCTCGCCTGAGACGCAGATAGATAATCTGAAATACTAAATAAGCTACTTTGGTCCCGGTAAAGCAGGCGTAGCCACTAATAGAAGCTAGTGATTGAACAACGTTGATTGAACAATACATTGCTTTTATCCCCTTAATTTTTATGATAACTGTTTTATATAACATTAATAATTTGAACATTTTCCGTTTCAGTACTCAGAAATATTTCTAAGTGATTTATTTTTATATTTTTGTATAAACGGTCGACCTTTAATCTTGGCCACCATATCTGAGATGTTTATAAGAGAGAGAAAGAAAACTGTAGAAGTACTTTTACACGTGTTACGATTGCACGAAGAAGGTAAGTATAGTGTTCTGCTTAGTACGAAATTGTTTTATTTTCGATCGAAACGAGACCATGTCCGGCGCTCTGATTAGTTAGTTGGTTAGAACCGGCCAATCAAATCGCCAGACGCGGTTTCGTTTTGATGTCTTTAAACGTAAAATAAAGGCATACTAGGCCCTCTAAAATGTATGTTTTTGTGAAGTTTGGTCGATCAAGCGCTTCATATACATTCAACTCGGTTATTTTGTGAGAGATGAACAGTGAGCACCACTATTCTTTAAAGAGGAGATTTCTATTCAGCAACAAACGTCTTCTACGCTGATGACGATGATTTTACAATACGATCGCACATTAATGATCATAGGTTTGTTCACAACCATAGGTTATAGGATATAGGATCATAGGTTTGTTGAATAAGTTATAAGCTATCTTTTTTTAGCTGTTTTATTGAAATCGACCAATTGTGTCATTCAACATTAAACTTAAAACAATACCTCTGTTGGTTCGAAAATGTATGCCCAGGTACTAAAAAAAATTATCACATCTGCAACGTCGATTTTTATTTAAAAAATTCCGAATCAATTTCGTAATTAAAGTATAGCAGAGTTCCTTTCAAATACATTTGAACTTCATATTGGAAAAGCTGGAGTTATTGAATAGGCTAGCGAGTTTGGATGCTCTCAAAGCCTCAAGCTACATGTGAGCTGGTCAAAGGGGGATGGATAATTGAACTAAAAGTGAACATTTTGAGAAACTAGTATAAAGATTGCATTGAATTGCTGTACATTTTTGACATGCCCGTTCGTAGGAGCTTATCTAGGCCCAGTACCTACATACGCAGTACGCACAGCGGCTGTATTTGTTCTTCTATTCTAATTCTAATGTAGTATGTGACAGAAAACACCGATGTCTGTGTACACCAAGTAGCTTTATTGAACTGAACAAAATGTAACATGTAAATAAAACATATAATTACGTATGACAATGTGATCGCTGGCGTCGAGCGTGCTTTTACACCGTTTTCGTAAGAATTACAGAGGGTTTAGTACAAGTTTGATCCGCATTTAAAGATTCTTCTGATTGGCCGGCTCCATTGAACCAACCAATCGGAGTGCCGAACGCGGTCTCGTTTCGATTATGTTAAACGTAAAGCTAACTCGTACTGAACCCTTAATAATAGGGTAGTTTCCTAAATTTATTTTAATGTCCGTCTGGTACTTTAATTAAAACTTTAGACACGTATTTTTCTTTTCTCACAAAATTACATATATACTTTCGACGATATATTAATTTGAAATACCGTGTGACGTCACAGCGTGCCACATTTTGTAGCATAGTTATGACGTAACGACCTCCCACTGCTAAACTTAGCGCCATTTTATCTAAGTATTGCAACTTAATACGAGATAATAAAATACGTGTCTAATATTTTTCATTATCTAACTGACAGACTATCATCCTAATGATTTTTAATTTTGATACCGTGGAAATTACCCAATATCCCTTGACAAAAATCTTCTTTACTTACGCATGTTGCATTACCTACCGTCACAGTCTTTTAAAGCCCTTTTAGTATTAGTGCAGCATCCCACCAAAATTATAAGTCCATGTAATATAATATTTTCCAATGCATTTTTCCACCTTTTTCGACCTTGAATCTTGTGATATTTTTGCAGCGCCATATACAAATAGTACCTGTTTACGATATAAAGAATAAAATCTGTTTCTTTCCAGATGATCAACTGTTCAGTCAAATAAAAACTATTATAATGTTGGTTACAACTCGCAAACTGGAAATATCGGCAAATGTCTTCACTATCAACGTACCAACTGTTATGAACTTTGCTGGTCGAATCATATCGTATACGGTTCTCATGATCCAATATTTCTACAGCCATGAAATCAAAAATAAAAATCATTTGTAATAATTTTATTAAACGAAAATCATTGGAAAATATATCGGGGTTCTTGTAAAATATTAGTACCTAGCTCCTTTTGCTTTAGCTAATTTAAGAACACTGAATAAATTATTTTTTTTAATCTGTCTTTGTTATTTAAAAATATCTAACTGATGTACCGAATGTAGGTAATAGTTACTGATAATTCTTTACTTTTTTAATGAGATAAGCCGGTAAACGAACTGACAGATCACCTGATGGTAAGCAATCGGTGTCGCCCATGGATACACGCCATAAGCGTTATTTGTACGTTACCGGCCTTTTGGGCATTAGGATAAGTATGCTGATTCATGGATTGGAGAGATTGAGGAAGGAAGGGGGTAATTTGGCTTCCGGTAACATATATATGACATATAGTGAGAGGCCGTGGTATCACTCCGGTCGAGCCGCCCCATTCGTGCCAAAGCATGGCTCTCCCACACTATTCATTTAGTGTGAGTATTTGTTTAATTATCTTTAAAAAAAATTGGTAACTCTTACACAATAGTATTAACCCTATTTTATATGTAAAAATACAAAGCATAGTGGGTAGATATATTTCCTCTGAGAGTTATAAAATCTCAGACAAAATATGAAGTCTCAGAGTACACATAAATGCAACAATGTCCAGCAATACACACGAGATTGTTCGTCGTATATGACATTTTATTTTACGAAACTTTAGCGCTTTACTGCATTAATTTTTGCAAAAGAATAAATAGGTAGCTATTCTCATTTCATATCATAGTAACGGACCTGACTGTCTTGTTGGCTAATTGGTCAAATTACTGCCAGATATCATTTTTATGAAGAAGATTTTTTAGTAAAAAGAAGTATATATATTCAACAGTATAGAACAGTTCAATATTTTACTATATTCAGGGTAGATTTAATTCACAACTAGCTATTGCCCGTAACTTCGTCCGCGTAGAATATGAATTTTAGAACATAACTTTTTTTGTTTCAGTTTTCCAAAACAAAAGTAGCCTATGTTACTCCTTAGTACATAAGCTACCGGCTAATATAATAAGAGTCTTGCAAAATCGGTCCAGCCATTTCAGAGATTAGCCAATAAAAACAGACAGACAGACAAAAACTGAAATATATGTTATTTTGTTGACTGCGTCATTGGCTGAGTGGTCGTACGTACGACTCCCAGGTCGGGCAAAGTGTTATTTGGTTTTTTAAAAATTCACAGTAATAGCACGGAGTCTGGAATTGTGCCCGGTATAGGTATAGCAATAGGCTATTACACGGGACTCATAACATAAATAGTGAAAAGTGGGTGTTACATTATTGTACAGTGGCATAATGTGCACCTCTGCCTACCCCTTCGGGGATAAAAGGCGTGATGTTGTGTTGTTATATTGTTATTTTGATATGTGTATTGTAACTATGTACATGAGTATTCATGTGCATGTAGTAACAAGCGGTTATTTCAATGTTACAAAGAAACACTCCAATTTTATTTATCTGTAGATATCTATAGATAGATTGACATCAGTCTAATCTATAAAAAATCTAATGTAACTGGTACAGGTACATAATAATGCATGTCTTGTTTCTAGGTAAAAATGGCATGTTTCTTCTTCAGTAGTTACTACTAGTCACAGTAGTTTAGTGATCATACTTGACATAGTAATAAGTACAGGAACGAGTACAACAATGTAGGTTCACAGTGGGTATACCATTTATGTGGGTAACCTAAATTAATAATGATTTGTTAACAATGTTTAGGGCTCATTTTTCTAAAGCCAGGTAACTTTTATCGGGTGCGGGTCTGCGGACGGCGAGCAAGGGTAGCTTGCCGTCTGACCAGAATCAGACCCGTGCGTAAGGCGCGTCGCGTTTCGCGCGCGTCTCAAAAAGCCATCAGACCACCACAGTTGGGGCCCAGTGATGCCCGATACGGAGCTGTGGAAGGCCTAATGGATTGCCGGGGCTCCGGCTCGAAGAGCAGGAGTAGGAACGGGGTGATTTTTAGTCAGTGAGAGTCTGACACTCCCTCTTGCTTAACCTAAGGCGGAGGAGTCATCGGATGACTTTCCCCCTCAAAAAAATAAAAGGTATCTTCATCGGAAAAATAATTTTGAATTTTTGATAGCTTTTCCATACTAAATCTGTCAGACGTTAATTTTATTAGCTAAATAAAATTAAGGCCCATAGGGCCCATTTTTCAATGCTCAGATAAATTTTGAGTCAAGAAACATAACATAATATAACATCACGCCTCTTATCCCCGAAGGGGTAGATATATTACAGCACTTCATGCCACTTGTACAATGAAACACCCACTTTTCACTATTTATGTTATGTCTACCATCAGAATAAAAGGCGTGATGTAATTTTCTGTTATGTTCTAATAACTTTTAATATTTGTCAATTCTTCTGTACTTACTAAAAACTGTCAAATGTAAATTTTACACGACAGCCAAAAATGAACTGATTATTGAAAAATCGGCCTTATATTAAATTATACGGCCTTATATTCCATTATTTTACATAAGAGCCCTCTTTAACTTTTCATCAAAACTGTGAACTCCAGGTGGATAAGTTGCGTACAGTGGTACTCTCTCCCTCTCTTCATAGCATTTCAACACATCTTTTCATTGGTAGTTCTAGCCACTGATAATAGATGGCGCTGGGAACTAAAATTATTAAATATTGTACATTCACTTGATAATGGTAAGGAGGAAATTAGTGAATATTTTCCTGATAATATTAGTATTATCTCAGATTATAATGTTATTGTTTGTAACAAGGACGCTTGTAAAATATTGTGGTGATTAGATGACGGAATCGATAGGTGATCGCATGGTGAATCAAACCTTGGGGTTAATAAGTATAAAAAGTATAATCAAACACACTTTTAAGAACTTTTAAGCGTATATCACAAAGGTTTATTGTCTTTCAACAAAGCAGACTTGATCATTTATTTGGTCTTAGACCTATAACAATAATAACAAACATTAAAACTAATATTATTGTAAATTACGCGAAAATAATGTGTAAACAGATTTACACACATGGACAATTACACAGATGGACAACGTTTACGGAACACAGTACTTCGTATTCTGTGTGGGATGCTTCTCTACCGTCGAATGGAAGGAACAGCTCTTGATAACTGGGATGAACCTGCAAGAATTTTGGAATAAATTATTATACAACATAACAGCACGCCTTTTATCCCCGAAGAGGTAGGCATAGGTGCACGCAGAAGTAACACCCACTTTTCACTATTTATGTTGTGAGTCCCATGTAATAGGGGGTGAGCCTATTGCCATATACCGGGCACATTTTCAGAATCTGTGCTACTACCGAGATTTTTTTTTAATCCAGTAATACTTTGCCCGACCCGGTAATCGAACCCGAGACCCCTTGCCTGGCAGTCGCACTTGCGACCACTCGGCCTACGAGGCAGTCCAATAAATTATTATGCCGTATCAAATGGTTTTCCCAGTGGTCTACAACATAGGGTTCTTTAAGAGGGGAGTGAATAGGTTTCTTATGGGTCGGCAAGACGCATGTAATGCTTCAAGTGTTGCAAGCGTAGGTACATAGGCCACGCCACGGTAACCGCCTACCATCACGTGGACCGTGAGCTTAGTAGCCACGTTTGTGGTATAAAAAAAATATCGAAGAATCTTACTTTATAGAGGTATATATAGTACCATTACTTTTTAAAATTTCGAACAGTTTGGAGTCGTTTGAATGGAACCTGTTCATAAACTATCTTCTCGCTAATAAAAATAGGGAAAGTATGTGAGTTTATTTGTATGTTTGTTACTCGAACATGTCGAAACAGCTTAAGGGATCGGCATAAAATTTATAACAGGGATACATTAGCGCTGAAATTACACATAGGCTATTTTATCCAACGAGAACGACTGGTGAAACCGCTGGCAGAAGTTAATTACATCTGTACATGCTACTTGCTTTTAAGCGTTAAATACAGTTTTTCGTTCTTTCTTTAATAACTTCTGTATAATTGTAAAATGGATTACCTTTCCAGGCGTCAATGATCCTTGCTCAAAAGCCCTGCCGACATACAGAGGCTCTCCATTAGACGTTCTGCCAGCTACAATCGCATTTGGAGGAACATGCCCATTACGGCCTTCCTGCCACATTATTCTCTCTGGGCGAGCGCAGCACACCTGCAAATGACAACATTTATTCGATGAGATAGAGTTTCTTGCTCGTTCTTCTCCATTCGAATTTACACCTTGGAACGAGCACCTAGCTTACTGACGGATGACAAGTAACTAGTACACATTTTTTGACGTATCAGAAAACGTATCAGTAAATGCTTTTTGACTTTGACCTCATGCTACGACAGCCTAACATAAAAACAATACGTAAAAATCTAATAATATACAAAGAAGTACCTAGATTGTCGTTTGTAAAATATACGTAATTAATTTTTTTAAAGATAATAGAAATCATAATAAGTAACAATTTTATTACTACTATACCCAATTACATCATCATACTACGGTTGAACAGCGAAATATGATACCAAATATAACTCTATCCTGCGTAAAGTGTCCTTATGGGATAGATAGATAAGAAAATAATTTGAGTTTTATCAAATTATTTCAGCCCTGTTATTAACATATTCAAATTGAATATAAGGTTTCTACAGTTTAACGACATTTACACTGTTGCACAATCATGGGTAAGACAAGTAGAAGTTATATTTAGTTGAAGATATCATCAACAAATCGTTGCACAACTTAGCGATTTTTGTTGTTAAGTCTATTGTATGAATCATTAATTCATTACACAGATATGAATCACACAGTTTGGCAATTTTGTTGTTCGTATTTGCTTCATTAGATTGGTGTATTATATGTAATGAATCATACTTATCATACAATAAAACCTACCAATAAAATCGCTAATTTGAAAATAAAAAATATGACTACAAACCTCAAATTCATGGACGTCATGTTCTCTACCATCCCATCCAACGTAAGCGACCTTATGTCTCGCAACTAGTTTACCAGGAATCATATCGCCGGCGTACTTGGCTCTGATAACCCAGAGTGCACTACCGTTATGTTTTTCAAATCCAGCAACTACAGCACGATCGCGGAGCGTATGGGCATCATTAATGTTAGTAGGAACCCATTCCACAGCAGCTGGAAATTGGAAATACACATTTTTACTTAGATAGAAAACTTCAGCTCTTGCAGTCTAAGTGGAGATCTTCGAGTAAAAATAACTATTTTATATATCCATTCTATCAGTTCTAAATATGATGTATAATTATTATATATTGAATATGATTATTACTATTGCAGTTCAGATACTAGAAGATTGTGTCATTGGTAACTGGCTTGTTGACTGAAAACAGTTGAAACAAGGATTATCAAATAACCGCTGTTGGATTAGCAGCATTTTAAAAGACCTCAAATGTAAAAATATGTATCTTACGTCCACAACATTTGACTGGCGGCGCGGGCGCGGTGTTCGGGTAATACATTGGTGGCGGTACTGGTGGACGTTCAGACAATAATGTCTGACAACTTGCGCATTTCAAGGGAGTCTGTAATTCCTGTGGGAGCGTTTGTCCACTACCGTTACCAGGCCAAGCTGTACTAGGTTGTCTTGGTAATGGAGTAACGGCAAATACAATGCCATTGATCTGGCAGTACATCTGCGGTTGAGATGGCTGATTCTGACCCCAGTCTGGAATAAAATAATCATAGGTAGAACACACAACAACTAACGTACCTTAAGTCGTACGTCCGAATCGCAAGCAAAGAGTATTATTTTGCTATAATCATAATGTTTGTGACCAAAATGTAAACTAGAAACCATAGCAATCAATTTGTATTAAAAAGTTTTATCCCTCGCTCGATAGATGGCGTTAGGATAAAAATAGATCGCGCTATGGTTTCGTTACATGAGTTTGATGGGGTAATTGAACAACTACAAAAAATGAGCTTTTAGAGCATTTAAATCGAACCAGTAGATCAGAGCACAATTGTTGTTTTAATTTGAACTCTATTAGTGTTTCGACTAGAACACTTATCGTCAAGCAATAATCACATAGTTTAGTTAGTTTATTTAAACCAAAGATAAGAATGTTAAAATATTAGATACATTAAAAATCGATTAGTAATATAATAAACTAAAACAAACAAAAGCTGAAAACTTAAGACTAAAATATCACTATTATTATTCATACGTTATTTATTACAAAATATTCTTATGTTCATTAAGTTAATTTTTTTATGGTTTGTGACACCGGCTTGACCCAGTGTATATATACATTTTCAATAATTATTTTTAATTCTGTGTATCAATTTTAAACATAAGTGGGAATTGCAGAGTGATTAGGATATTTAAAGATTTACTTATTTATTTTTTATTTATGGACACATACAACACAAAAGACAAAACATATATAGAAACGAGGTATGTACATAGGTCTCATATATTTCAAATGGAATTTCTTCCTATGGGCCTAAGTCAGAAAAGTAAATACGACAACGAGATACAGAGTGTTACACAAATAAAGTAAATTTAAATACATTTAAATAAAAATATAGTGAAATATAACCATAATAGCTTACTTGTATTCATCTTGGTAGGCTTTTATAAATCACAACACCAATAAACAACAATGGAACAGCACAACACGACTGCCAGCTACAAATGTGCGATGCACAAAAACATGACGCGACGAGACGCCGCGCTCCCCACCAAAAAAACTAGATATTATTTCGATCTGTTGATATCACCAAGCGTAATTCCCACGTCGCGGAGAACCTAACGGGTAACCGGGGCTCCGGCTCGACGTGCAGGAGAAGGAACGGGGTGGTTTTTAGTCAGTAAGACTCTGACACTCCCTCCCTCCTCACCCAGGCGGGAGCAGTCATTCGATGATTTTCCCCCCTTAAAAAAAGCGTATTTCCCACCGTCTACTTCATTGGATTGATTAAAATAATATAAACTGGAAATTACACAATACTTTGACATAACCACTGCCAATTGTTTCGAATAACACTTCAATGCCAATCATACCATCTGGAATAGTTTAATTGTTAAATTTAAGTACCAAATATGACTTTACCGAGTTATGTTTACTTTCTAAGAATATTTAAATTCTAGATACAGACGGTGAAGAGGATTAGAGGATTTATATGTTTAAAATAGCCAATCCGCCTAGAGCATGCGTGATGGGTGTGAGAAGGAGCAATATAGGCTGTTTATGATGATGATGATGATGATGATGGTGGTGATGACAAACAAAGAACAAACATGTAAATAAACTTCATTTTTTTTCTTCTCCTCTTATAATATCTTCTGATTCATTTCGTTGCGGGAACCAAAACAGTTATTCATGTTCAGTGTTCCGGGGTTTTCATGGTTGCATCTACGGTAGATCCTGGCTTACAGGAGTTGCAGCGGTTTTGGGAGGTTGTGGCGGGCTTGTCCCAATAAAAAAAAATACTTCATCCAAAAATCCAAATCCTTTATAATATTTTTACAAAAATAGTTTTACCCGAAGTGTATCATGCCATTGTGTGGCTTGATTCTTTAAAGGAAAAAACAACTTCTGAATGTGTTTCTGGGAATTCCGACACGTAATTTGGTCTGTACAATTTTTTGATAATGTTATTCACTTACAAGACTACTAAGATATGCAACCGGCTCCTGTTTTAATCACTAATGAAGTCGCTGTGTTGACGACGGACTCGAGGTTGTCAGGGTTTTTGTCACAGAACATAATAGATGTATAAAGAAGATGTTTTTGTCATGATCAACACAAGTTGGAGGCTTAGTATGTCTGGTCGATCATCCCAGTTAAGGGGTAGTAAGCTAGATGCATCCGATGTAACAGTACCTAACATCTTCTTTTTAGAATGACTGCCTCGTTGGCCGAGTGGTCGCAATTGCGACTGCCGAGCAAGGGGTCTCGGGTTCGATTCCCGGGTCTGGCAAAGTATTACTGGGTTTTTAAAAAATTCTCAGTAGTAGCACGGAGTCTGGAACTGTGCCCGGTATATGGCAATAGGCTCACCCCCTATTACATGGGACTCATAACATAAATAGTGAAAAGTGGGTGTTACATTGTACAGTGGTATAATGTGCACCTCTGCCTACCCCTTTGAGGATAAAAGGCGTGATGTTATGTTATGTTATGTGTTGTTGGCCATAACCATGGTTATTATGTAACCTATACTTTTGCTAATAATTATAGATGTAGTTAATTGTAGTATGTAACTAGGTTCCCTCTTTACTTTATAAAAATTGACTAGATGTATTATAATTAAAAAACTGTATGACAAGGGCACGGACCTAGAGTCCATGGAGAAATAATCTATAATATTAAAAAAAAACCATGGTTAAAACCTCATTTAACATAAACATTGTCTATATTTTACATAAGCGCCCTCTGTGACATTATATCAGAACTATTGATTCCACGTTATAGTTTCGTAAAAGACTCCTTCGGAGATATTGGTTTGGTTGTATTTCGTTTAATAGTTTAAGTAATTGACGTTAGGTGGCGCTACTGGCGTCACTGGCTGTTACGATGACTCTGAGTGGTGACAATGGAGTATGTTTTGATTTTTCTCTGCTATTTTCAGGGAGGTACCTATTACCTATATTCTAAATAATAATTATAATTTTCTAATATGTCAATACTTACACAAAAATAATTGTTACACCTTAACTTCTGCCTACTTACTCCTCCTGAGCTAAGGAACTCAGCATTTTAGTTTTGTTTATTATCCACCTCCTACACTCTTAATAAGGCATTAAAAAGGTAACCAAACCGATTCAAAAGTAATTGTAAATCTAGGCATTTTCCGAAATCCCTAACAATAGTTAGGGATTTCGTAAAATCGACATTATGTTCCGTTACAAATAAATATATTTGTAACGGAACATAATGTCGATTTTACATCTAACTATCTAAGTATCTATAATTTATGAGTCTTCCCTCTCTCACCAAGCGTCTAACTGGCGCCCTCTGTCGCGCCGCCATTTTGAATGCTAAACCGAGAGGCCGCGTTCGTCGCGTCTCGTCTCGTCATTCATTCCATTCTATTTATTTTGTTATTCCGTATTGCTCGTGCCGACGCCGGTAGTCGTGTCTAGTGCTAGTGAGCTGTTACACGTTCGTTCAGTGCAGTGATTTATAAAATTATCCCCAAATGTCTGGATGTAAGTGATTTTTTATTACCTACTTATCTTATCTGTTACTTATTATATTTCATTGAACGTTAAAATCAAGAGAATGTTACGAAAACAAACAAGTCGGTACTCATGTGAGATTGCGCGAACTACCGGTATTGAAGACCGCGTTCATTCCAAAATATTTTTATTCATAGTAGGTGTCTATAGACACTTAAGTGATAAAAAATGCTAATTATTCACTGTACCGTAGCGGTTTATGTAACTGTTAATAGTCAACATCATAAAAGTGAAACTCGTGCTTGAACCTCTACCAGTTAATGATATTGCATAATTTTTACATCAGTTTCCTTTGATACTCATTGTAATGACGTGCCCTACAATACATTAGGAAAAACCTGAATATATTTTTAATACCTAAGCAATTAGGTTTGTTTCTAATGTGAACATCAATTTAGCACTGCTTAGCGACACAGAAAGGGTTTTTAATTTAAATATTTATTCGTAAATATGTAAGCTGTAAATTATCGCGAATAGATCCTAACGGATTTAATACCTTAAACAATAGAAATTAAGACTTGAATTAACAATTTTCATATATTAAAAACCAGTTAATGTGTTGTTTTAAGATAAATTTTTATCTAGTCACGTTTTATGAGATTTACTCACTGAGATAATGAATATCACACGTCCTTGTGACCAATAACATTTTAAATACGCCCCCAAACAGAACACTAACAAACACAAATGACTATACTGACTGAACACAACACAAGTGACTGCCTCGTTGGTCGAGTGGTCGCAAGTGCGACTGCCGGGCAAGGGGCCTCAAGTTCGATTCCCGGGTCGGGTAAAGTATTAAGTACTGAGGTTTTCCAAAAAATCTCAGTAGTAGCACGGAGTCTGGAATTGTGACCGGTATATGGCAATAGGCTCAGCCCCTATTACATGGGACTCATAACATAAATAGTGAAAAGCGGGTGTTACATAGCACATACACATAGCATGTTACATACATAACATGTTACATAGCACATACTTGTGCTTATAAATAAATAAATAAATAAATAGTAGAGTGGCATTAAATGCCGTAATGTGCACCTCTGCCTACCTCTTCGGGGATAAGTGGCGTGATGTTATGTACGTATGTATGTACAAATGACTATAATACAGACCTACATGCGCCTAAAAACTTCTAAAACAGAGATAACCTTATTAAATATTTGTTTATTTGCGTGGAAATTTCTCCGCAGCGGCTTTCCAATGTTTGTTAGATAACAGCATCGTAGTGGGACTACCGAAGTCACGCCTACTGTACACTTTCACAACGCTATTGTTGATTGCAAAATGTAAACAAAACGATGCTCCTGTTACGACATAATATTTATGGTGTTCTCGCATACTAGCGACCACGCCTATGGTGTCCATGTTCTAGTCCTGTATTCTATCATTTAATCATAATGTTTTTGAGCTGATCAACCAAATGCCTGTCAGTCAAAAGTCAAAACCATTTAATTTTATTCTAATCAGCCAACAATCATTTATTTCAATTAGACCAGAAAGGCACTTTTAAACGTCAAAACAAAATATAAACTATTAAAAAAAAGGACAGTCTGTCGGGCAGTCCTCTAATGAAGCTATTTGCTCAAAGTTAAAAGACTGCCTCGTTGGCCGAGTGGTAGCAAGTTCTACTGCCAGCAAGGGGTATCGATTCCCGGGTTGGGCAAAGTATTACTGGATTTAAAAAAAATGTCAGTAGTAGCACGGAGGTTGGAATTGTGCCTGGTATATGACAATAGGTTTACCCCCTATTACATGGGACTCATAACATAAATAGTGAAAAGTGGGTGTTACATTGTAGTGTGGCATAATGTGCACCTCTGCCTACCCCACCGGGGATAAAAGGCATGATGTTATGTAGTTCAAAGACGACCCAGCGTCCAAATTCTATACCACATTAAAAATGTCCGTACACTGGCCACGACGGCGATAATTAGTCCGATCCAAAGTGATGCGTGGATGATCACAATTCTCGTTCATGCGGGAATGAAAGAGAGAGGAAGGGAGTCATCGAGTCATGGACTAATAGTAACAGTAGTGTGGGAGAGAGACACAAAAATCAAAGGTGATGATGATGATGAAGCTGGTAATGATAGACATGGATAGTCATCGTCAAAAAACATACATAGTACTTAAATCTTTTTTATTACACATAACTACATAAAATACGTAGAATTACTTAAATTGGAGCATAGCACGTACTATTTGATTATAATGATGTTTTTTTGAGAGTTTATAAGAATGTAAAAATTACCAATAGTAATTCAAATACATAATATAATGTAAATACAGCATATTTATATTACGGGTGTTCAATGAAAGTTGTTAAGCTGCCGCTCATTAAAGAAGTAAAAATAAAAATCCATTCTTGAAAGAAAGGTTCCTTAACACAAATTTCACCTCTAAGTAGCAGCAACAGGTTCGTACTTTGACCTTGAAACTGCTTAAAGAAAACAAAAGTAACTGAAAAGGTAGGTATACAAAAATACGTTATGAGGTTCGTCTTACCAAAGCAAATATCTTAAATAGTAAAGAATTTTAAAGCTGCAGATATAATATTTATCTTTTTTATACAAGTACCTGCTTAGCCAATCTGGATGAGAAATGGGCATCAAATAGTTTACTCGAGGAAAATATGCCTTAGCTTCTTATTGCTTATTAATTTCCCCGACTCAGACAGGGCTTTGTATTATGAAGTTTACATACATATACATACATTACTAGCAAACCTGAAAAACACTGTATAGCCAAGAGACCAAGTTCTATTTTACTATAAATTAAATAAAGTAAGAATTCCCTTAGTTTTTACTTAATCCTACTTCCTACTAATATCCTACTAATTATTATAACTGCGAAAGTTTGTAAGGTTTGTTGTTGTTTGTTGTATAAACACACACACACACATATAAATATATGTGTGTTTATATTTATATATGTGTGTGTGTGTTACTCTTTACGTCAAAACGACTAAAATGATCGAGATAAAATTTGGAACAGGCATAGACTTTGATCTGGAATAACGCCACAACGCCAACATACGCCACTTTTTATCCCCTGAGAACATGGGCGAAACCGTTAGCAGGGGCTATTACTTAGTAAATTAAGAAACAAAGACGGAAGAGTTTACTATACTATGAAATGATGTAACAAATATAATCGGCATTCAGAGCGATCGTCCTTGGGACCAGATTGTCGGAATGTAGTCTCATCAGTTCCCATAATTGCTAGACTATGTATTATAGTCGCAGCCATCGCCTTGTTTACAACCATTGATATTATGGTAAAAATTATTAGTTTTCAGGAATCTAACCTCATCTAACTTAACCCTACTATTCTACTAATTAACTAAACTTGAGTAAATCTTTATTTCTGAACCCATACAAAAAAAGTAACAAACAAGGGAAAGTGAGATTCCTTTTTTATTATTAAAAAACTAGCTTATCAGGTAAACTTCGTGCTGTCAATTTTATTTTCTCACCTTCCACCTAGTAGTTCAGGTAAGCTGTACTTCCCTGGACTACCATTTCAAAACCAAAATTAGCCAAACCGGTACAGCTTCTCTCGAGTTTTAGCGAGACTAACGGAAAGAAATTCATTGTTATTTGTATAGATATGAATTTATGCGCTAATAAATACATAGATTGTTATTATAGTCTGGAAATAGAATGTTACCAACGAGTTTCGCAATGCCAACGGGAAAAAATTATAATCTGCTAATTATTTGCTATTCAAAAAGTACGTAGGCAAGACCCGATTTCCTGGTATGCTAATGAAACTGAATTGTATATATACTATAACAACCTATTATTATGACATAATATAATTATAGTATTAACAAACACTGATTTTAAGTATCAAAGATACATTTATAACTATTTTGGAATTACTAGAATTTCGTAACACATTTTTCACATGAACGGCACATTGGACATAAACAAAACTATTTTATTATATTCAGAACAAAATGTGCCGTTTCAATTATATTAATAACATCATATTTGAAACGATAGCAGAAATATCTTTATCTCACAAACTCCAAGAAATTAAACAGTTGTAATAACCGTTTATTTCATTTACAAACGCTTATCTAAATTCCTATATGCATTCCACTTGTATGTTATTTGCAACACGATTCTATGTAGCTGACTACTTTCAACATAATTTTATATTTGGATCTCTGAGATCATCGATCTTTATACAAAAATCTACTAGGCAGGTTTACCTACTAATCTCAGTGAAGCCATGAGTCCGAAAACAACGGTCACGACATGTTTTCAAATATGGGCCTTTAAAACCTACGTCTGATTTAGTTGCTCTTATTAGGAACAATAATTTGGTTAGGATATTTTAAACGATATAAATGTTATAATACGATGTTCACTAAGCTATCTATTGGCAGATTTTAAAGTTCAACAAATAGGTTGGATTTTGAAACTAGCCGTTAGTCGATTTATGTTCTAATAAAATTTTCTTGTTACAGATCCATATGGAAACCCGGGGCAATACCCACCACCGCAACCGCAGATATATCCTCAGATATATAACCCTGTAAATGCCGCTACTCCAATAGCAGGACAACCTGGGTTTGGACAGCCATTCCCACCGCAGTTTCAGCCAACATTCGGATACCCTTACCAACCGGGTCAGGCCCAGGGCCCGGCTGCACCAGCTGGGCCACAGACATCACTGTCCTACCCTTCAGCTCCCTCGGCGCCAGGATTTGGTTACAACGCTCCTCCCTTTGGTGCCCCATCTCCTTATGGACGTAAGACATTTTGAAACTTAAGACCAAATGCTTTTAATCTAACATCATTTGCTTGATACTTACCAATAGATTACTAATGTTTCTAGATTTGAGACCCTTTAGTCATAAATTTAACCGTAATACCATTTGAGTCATTAGTAGTTTTTTTTTTGGCTACAAACTAACTAAGTAACAGAAGATAAAGAAAGATGAAGGGACCAAACAACGGGATATGATGTTAACAGATATACATTTATAATCGGCAAAGATTTTCATAATGGGTGCCCCTTTAACTATTTATTAAACAAGCTTGACAACGAACTAGTATTCTAGGAATTCTTGTGACGCGAAACCAATCTCCGACAAAAAATACCACCAGATATTTTTGGCAAGAGCGAACTTTTCTCAAGGTCTTTCAATATCTAGTGCATGCTTTGAAGCATAATTCTAATTGATCCAGAGCAATTTGTCATTGAAATAGTGATTTTTAAATTTCTTGAAGATTCATAGACTTCCAAGTAAAAGTTTGTTTTCATAAAAACTATCGTGAGACATACTAAATGAACTAAAAAATCGCGGGTTACTCACGTGAATATACTGAGAAAAGCGTGACGTGATACCCCGCGACCGCACACGCTGTTCATGAGGAAGAACCCTTCTGTGGTTTGAAACTAGTAGAGCTTTTCTCAGTATATTCACGTGAGTAACCCGCGATATTTAGTTAATTAAGTAAAAATTTGTTTAGAAATTGTTGAAATTTGGATGTATTAATTAATATTATCGGCCACATCATCGCTTACCATCAGGCGAGATGGTGGTCAAGCGTTGAAATATAAAAAAAATTAAAAATATCTTTAATTGCAGCTGCTGTCGAATGGGTTCCTACTAACCCGAACGAAGCTCACGCGTTCAACGATCGTGCTGTAGTTGGTGGATACGAAGGACATGATGGTAGCCCACTCTGGGTTATCAGGGCCAGGTTTGAAGGCGATTTGATTCCTGGAAAACTGGCTGTGAAACATAGGGCCGCTTATGTTCCATGGGGTGGAAATGAAAATAGCGTCAAGGCCATTGAGGTTTGTCATTAAATTTATATGCTATTAAATAATATTTGTTCATGAAATAAGATAATTAAATAGTATTGGTGCGTTTCTTACAAACTTGCTTTGATACCTTGTTAACAAATTTGTTTTGTTTTTCATTGATACTTTTATTTTTCTTCTTTTTTTCTTCTAAAAAGCCACGATATGAGCAGTCAAGTGACTGTCAGGATTGACAACTACTGCTAGATGAACCAACTGTCTTTACAAAAGAATTTCATATATATATATTTATGTGCTAGCTAATCAAAGTTTCAAAAACAGTTTACTGACTCATTATTACTATACATTGTAGCCACATCATTATTGAGTAATTATGCACAAGCATTCATAATTATGCATGGTGTTTCTTACTAACGTCATAATGTCACCTTACTGGATTTTGTTTATCTATCCATACCTTGATTTACTGCAAATATTCGTGTTTTTCGTCCTTTGTTTTACACTGGATGGTAAGAATAACACGATGGCAGGGTGTATATACCTTTACCTTATTTTGTAAAGGAAAATGTCTGATTTTTGTTCTTAAGGACGCCCACGTCCGTTACCATCTCAACGTGTTTATCGATCATGAGATCAAAATAGGTACTTCCATAATTTCCGTAAGTATTCAATATAGAGCTACTGTGCCTGTATTGAATAAACACTTGAATTCTTTACAAGCGTTTTGTACAGACACTGTGGCAGAATTTTGTCAAACGAACTTGCTTGAAGGCATAAAATAAATAGTCCAAATTATTTTTTTTAATCCAGTGAAAATAGAAGTTATCTTAAAGTGGTAACTAGACACTTCTGTGTGAACTCTCCTGGATTCAAAGAAAGTCTTCCTGCATATGTATGTGGTTATGGATAGAGGAATAGGTCTGTGACTCAGTTATACAAAATAACTTTTGATAGCAGATATAAAAAACAAATGAATAAACGCCCAGTTGTGACGAATAGAATAGGAAGAGATAAAACAAATATCAGTTAAATCACATAAAACTCGTAAAAGATTGACTCATTAATGTTGTGAAATTGTAATGCAACATTTTAATGAGTATGACGATGAACTAAGTGAGTCAAATAACTGTTTTCAATGAAATTGTGACGTACCTACTTTATATGTGAACTGACTATCACTTTGTTTATATACATACGTGGGACTTTGTAATGTGACTCTTAGTAATGACGTGTACGTGGTCTATAGTTATTGGTTGAATACTTAGATGCTAATTAGCAACACGACCGACGGTCAAAGGTGACTATGACTAGCCATTCAACTATAATTTTACCTTGAATGCTTGAATTAAACTTATTTCAGAACTTACTTACCTAATTAATTTTTATGTTTTTCGGTTTACTCACGTAATTATTTGAAGAGGAACTCGATTACTTCACTAGATTCAACTACTGTCGCCCTGCGACAGTCGCCGTGTCACGTCGCGTCGTTTATGAATATGAGACTCTAGCATGGCAATTAGTCGAGTTCCTCGTCAAATAATTACGTGAGTAAGCTGAAAAACATAATAATTAATTTATTATATAAAGTTATAATATAAACTTACTTACCAGTTTCCATCAAAATGCAAAATCTCTATATTGTTAATTGATTTGATTTATTAGAAATAATTTTATCTTTTCTATAAACATCTTTGCATCCACGTGTAAGTGCACAGAAGCATGGCGTATGTCGCTACGTTCCTCAGATTACTATTGAATTTGCACAAGAATCACAAGACCTTGAAGATTTCAATCCACGTCGTACGTAACTACGTTTCTACGTACTGACCCCGATTTTGGGTGATCATGAGATCATCAAAAACTACTATTATTAGGTCTAACTATTATTATTACTTCTTAAACTGTCAAACACCAAGCGGTCACCGGTGAACGCGACCCATTGTTCTTTAATTGTGTCTATAAAACCGGTACTCGACGAGTTAAACCCATGACGTCTTCATTAATTTATTCTAATTTCTCCAGATTTGCTGCGCTCGCCCAGAGAGGATCAGGTGGCAGGAGACTGGGGATGGTAACATTCCTCAAAATGCTATTGTAGCTGGTAACACAGCTAATGGAGAGCCTCTGTATGTTGGCAGGGCTAGGGAGCAAGGATCATTGACACCTGGAAAGGTAATTCTTTTAACGATTTAAAACTAATTTATAACTAATAGGTTATCAACTTTATTGGTTTGGAATTAAGTCTAAAATCTAACACATTAAAGTAGCTTGATATAATGTTCAGTAATGTTCATGTTTTCTACAGAATTATTTTCACAGAATTTGTTTTAGATTCACGATACATGGTTTTCCAGCAATTTATTGATCATTTGAAATGTTAAAATTGAATTCTTCTACAGGTACATCCCAGCCACAAAGTGCTGTACATCTCATTCGCCGGTAAAGAGGTACCACACAAAGTATATGAAATACTTTGCGCCGCATAAATATAGATAAATAATAAATGTTGTCTATCTATGTACACCGTAAATTTTGTGTAAGATTTTACAATATTATACATGTTTGTACTAGTTTTTAAAGAACAAGGAAAGTATGAAGTCTGCTTTGTCGAAAGACAATAAAATGGTCTGATATTTCGCTAGAAGCTCATTGGATAAATTTATATGGATACGAATGTTTAAAGATCTATGTAATGTAACGTAGGAGTCTCAAAAGTCTCAATTTCATTTTTTTTTTTTTGTTATATTTTTATACTTTGTAAAATTGTATTTTATTTGAGATAGATATTATTGTGATTGTACTTTTAATGCTGTTTGTTATTAGCATTTACTCTTTTCTTATGTGTACCGATGTACTTATTCCGAATTAGTGAGGAATAAATGGATGTTTCAATCAATTATTTTCTTATTTCACTCCTTTAGAAATCATATTGTAGGTAAGTATTCATAGGTATTCACAAATGACACAAAAAATCGAAAAGCAATCTCTCGTCTGGCTAAAGTCTATAAATACCAATATTACAATGAAAATACATTTGATGGTTGGTTTGTTTTGATAAGTGTCCTAAAACAACTAGACTAGACCTTCTTTTTTTTGAAATCGGTTAGAAATGAACATTTTTAACCGACTTCAAAAAAAGGAGGTTATCATTAACCATAAAATAGGCTTACTTTGCAGGAAGTAACTTAGCCACCTTTATCCCAAGCCTGGGACTTACTTAAGAGAACTTTGTTTCCTTAACTACAGTCCCTTAACCTTTTGACTGCCACAGTTGTCGATAGATGACAATCGAAAACTGAGCTAATTAGTTCGGTCGGAATGACATATTTAGGTATTTATATTTATCGTCTACAGCAGAGATCGTAGCGATTTAAACGTTAAACAATTAGAACAATAAACGATAATAAAAATTGCAAACAGTAAAATTTAAAAATATTTCTTTATTTTCATGGAATAAGTACTCACACAATATTAATAACGATAACAACTACGTACAATTAACTTATAACTAAATACATTACAATATATCACTTCATTGGGTTTGCAAAACTTTGTCTTGCGATTTATTTTTCTACAAACAAGTACAATTAATATATAATTTCAACTTACTAAGGTATCTGAAAAATATAACTGCCAGCCTCACGATAAGTTTATTTTTAAAACGAAAGAAAAATCGATATGCAGATATAGACAAAACAGAAGAGAAAAAAATAAATTAAAAAATATACAAAACCTCTTTCGTCTCTTTTTCATCACGTTTCAGAAATATTACAGAAAAATCGATTTTTAGTCTTCTGGGCATATTTAAAAATGCTTTAACTATGAGCGATCAGTGCATCGTATAGCCTGATCGTTTTTGCAAAGCAATCATCTGCCATTAAAAGTTAATAAACTAAGAATTTCTAAAAGGGGCTTTAAATGGTTTGTACTATACACTATTACATCAATGATTTAAAAGAAAATAATCTGAAATGTCAACATTTTTATATATGTCATCTTTTAAAATATGTCAGTTAAATTATAATTATGTTTTTTGATAAAAGAGAAAAGATAACCGAAGTGACTGTCGTCTACCATTACAATTGAAATTAGAATTAGATTTACAACATCAAAACACAACATCAATTAAATAATACAGTAGTCATAATAGTCATGGGTTAAACGTTTTTAACAGATCGTACGTTAAGGACCAGCCTTCCGTATTTTTATAAATCAATATAAAAAAAACAACATTTAACAGATGTTTCGAATTCAACTTATCCATTTTTTTGCGTTTTTTAAAACCTTATTATTAGGGACTACAAGAGACCCGGAGCTGTGATTATCGAGCTACCAGAACACCGCCTTATGGCAGGAGTAGGAACGGAGTGGTTTTTAGTCAGTAAGAATCTAACACTCCCTCCTGCCTCACCCAGAGAGCAAAAAGATATTGGACGATGTTTTCCCTTCAAAAAAATGTACTACAGAAATAGCATGGCTTCACTTAATTAAAATTCTTGTCAGTAATCTTAAACGTCATCGTAAAATTATTGCGGAAGAAGTCCTATTAAGTGATGAAGAAACTGATTCAGCGTCTAAACAAATAGTCGTTATATTTATATAGGAACATTGAAATATTTTCTCTTCAGAATTTAGTCACTTGTACTAACATGTATATAAGGGCGATAGAAACGTACATAAGCTTGAAAACCTAAGCAAGCTAGATGTAGCTAAATATATATTTTTTTTTATATTTTAATCATCACAGTCACAATTAAATCAGTTTTTAGAAACAACATCACGTGTAACATGTTATATGAATAGTTCTAGGAATCCTAAACATGTGAACCTCAAAGGAAAGTAAATAATATTTTCGAGTCATGCATTGAATACATTTCTAAGACTAATCTGCCATTTCCTTTTTTACTTAATCTCCCACTTGATAATTTCTATTAAGTTTCATTATATTTATAATTTTATTTACACCTACAACGGCACCTGCCTTATCTTAGTGTTGTACCTTACTATTGTTTACAATACTTTCAATAAATCCCATTTCTATTTGTGATTGTAGAACAGTTTCTTCTTTTTCGTCTGTCGTATTGCCAATTTCTTTTTTCTCAGTTTCATCAGTCTCGTAGGCTTTGTTTTCTATGCCAACCTTCTCTGCATCAGCTCTAAGTTTAGCTTCATTATCGAGGTTTGCTTGAATGTGTTTCTTGTTTGCCAGGTACAACCACCTGCAATAATTGACATCGAAAATTAAAATGGTTCATATTTAGACAATTTAGGAAGAAATCTTAACTAAATTGCTATATTTTGCTCATCAAATAAGGTATGTAACTCAAGTCTAATATTCAATTTCGTTAAGTGCATCAAACCTCATAGGTTATTTGCTCGATCTTAGAAATTGTTAGGAAGTAGGCTCAAAGGTCCCATTCACAATGAAATTAACGACACCAACTAATAAAAGAGATTTTTCTATGTAAGTATATTTAATACTTACAAAAATATAAGAACAGCTGGCATAGTAAGTGCTCCACCAAGAAGGAAGAATGCTCCTGGGAAGGTCTTAATGGTACTTGTATATACTGTAGTGTACATGGGAGCGTAGATTAAGGGCATCATTGCTTCAGCTACACCGTAGAAGGAATTCACCTTACCTGTGAAAAATAAAATAATGACCTTTTAGATGATGAATTCTAATAAGTTAATCAAAATTTGCTGAATTTACATTGTGTTATGTCGAGGAAAAAACAGTGTCTTACTAATTAAAAAAATGTATCAGTGTTCCTTTTTATCATAAAATTCCAAATGAAAACTCCAAACAACAATAAAAAGATCATGTTTGTATTACGCGCAAATTCGCAAGCGCCAGCGGCGCGTTAACGGCAGTTGATTGGTTGGTTCGATAAAAGTCTTAGTAGTTTTAGAGATGTCTAATAGATGGCAGTACTTGTACTAATGCTTACCCAATTCATCTCTGTCCACCAATTTGGAGACCATTGACCTCATCGCTATGAATGACGTTCCGTTAAATACTTCTATCAATGGTGCTGTAAATAAAAATGATATTTAATATATTTTATTCCAATTATTCAACCAAAAACCCAAAAATAATAAAAATTTGTCATAAATTTATTGAAATATAAAAAATGTAAGCCATAAATGTACAAGCACAAAAGTTTCAGAACATAATTTTTTGACTAGGTTGGTAGGAAAAAATAGATAATGATATAGAGTATTAATACCTATATAAATATGCCAGGTTTTTGTAGCAAAAGCGTACATAACGCCAGCCAGAATCTTACTCGTACACGAAATAACACCGATTATGGCGTCATCAAACTTCAGTAAGTGACTAAATACACCGACCGAAAATAAAGTACCTGAAACACGTCATAATAAAATCATTAGGACTAACAAAAAAAAACATAAAATCAGTGGTTCAAAAATACACACGAAAAATAAACAAAATTCTGTTGTTTTACAGAAAATATGCAAAAAGCGATTCCCGGATGGGACAAAGTATTACTGAGATTTTTCAAATATTTCCCCAGTATTAGTATGGAGTCTAGAATAGCGTAGTTTCCTAAATTTTATTTCAATGTCCGTCTGGTACATTAGTTTAAAACTTTAGACACGTATTTTTTCTTTTCTCACAAAATGAAATACTTTCGACGATATATTAATTTGACATATCGTGTGTCGGCACATCTTGCTACATTTTGTAGCACGTTATGACGTAACGACCTCCCACTCTTAAACTTAGCGCCATTTTATCTAAATATTGCAACTTAATACGAGAAAATGAAAAAATACGTGTTTAATATTTTTTCATTATCTAACTGACGGACTAATTAGATTTTTAATTTTGATACCCTGAAAACTACCCAATTGTGCCCAGGAATTGGCAATTGGCTCACCCGCTATTACATGGGACTCATAACATAAACAGTGAAAAATGGGTGTAACATATATAACATATATGGGTGTATAGTGGCATTAAGTGCCGTAATGTGCAACTTTGCCTACCACGTGAGGGATAAAAGGAATGATGTTATATTATATTACCGAATACCTACATAATTCCTTTACTGAATGAAATTATTCGAACACGTTATAAATTCCTTGACATAATTGAAAGTGTAAAAGTATGTTTTTAAAACCAGATACGGATTACGATTTGTAATTAATTTTATTTTACAATATTTATTATTTCTTAACTTTATAGCTTTATTCAATCAACATTTACAAAACAGAATTGTCCTTTGCAAATTTTACTTTTAACGTTTTCAGAAAAGAAATCACATTTTTGCATTACAATACAAAAATTAATAAATACTCAGATAATTATTAAGGTCATAGAATTCAGGTCTTGGAAATAAAAATAAAGATGTATAATAAAAAAATCACTCAGTTTTGATGATGAGTAAAAAATATTCAAGATTGCGATTCGATTCGATTCCGGCAAGGAGCAAGTCTTTGTGTGATCCACAAATTATTGTTTCGGGTCTGGGTATCATGTGTAAACGCACCCACGAAACAGGATAAAATTCTAGTGTAGGGTAATGTTTTGAAAAAAAAAGAGATTGTCTCGCATAAATATTTTGAACACAACGGAACCTCATCTTGATGACTTGAAATCTACGCAATGTTATAAAAAAAATAAAATAATCCTCACCTACTAATGAAGTACACATGGAGTAAGTAGAGAACATGCTGAAATCCACCTCGTTCCAGTTGAATCTGTACCTCGTGAAGAGATACATTACTGACATTTCACCTGAAAATATGAAAAATATTTATTTAGAAGTAGGTGGTAGGAGCATTGCATCTTGATTTGTCTCGTAGTAGTTTTGATTTCCACTTGTATTAGAGAATAGGCTAGATGCCTAATTTTTATTTTAATGTCCGTCTGGTAGATTCTTTTAAATCATGAGACACGTATTTTTAATTTTCTTACAGAAACGAATACTTTCGACCATATATTGATTTGAAATGTCGCGTGACGTCACTTCTATGTTTTAGCCCCCACTCCTAAACGTTGAATCGATTTATCTAAGTATTATTTTATTTTACGAGTTTCGGACTTTACATTTTTTATTTTCATACTCTGTCATCATCCCCCTTGTTCAAAAATCTATGGAAGCAGTTTAAATAGTTTTTCAAAACAAAATAAAGTCAATGAAATTGTATGTCTAGACTTTTACAGATTTTCCAGTTCTCTTTCCGCATATATCACTGTCGTGAATCACCTTATATACGTAAATATAGATGTAAGATCAATAAAATAATATGTAGGATTGTCAGTACCTATTGTTTCAGCAACGTAATTAAAATAATAATAAAATACATAGCAACTACCGCCTCGTTTTCTTTTTTGTAGTTAATCTGCTACCTCTGATTGTTGTTAAGGAAAAAATATTTATATTTATGTAACAAGACAAGACTGAACTCAGTATCGAATAAAAAATATATTTAATATTATTGCTAACATTGCTATCGATAAATAATTAGACGAGTTAGGATAAGTTCACTTATTCGCGTCCAGCCACCAGTTGGCAGTTCGTGTCCATATTGTGGATTGGATTGTAAATGTGGACGCGAACGAGCGCACTTACCCTAATTATAGGCATTTAGATCTACGTATGCACGGTTACGATGTCGTGGTGGCCTGGAGGCTTAAGGCATTCTCATGCATGAGAATGCGGGCCTGAAACCTACCATGAGCAAGGACCGATGTGACGTTTTCCGAGTTATATGTAGGTACTTTCTACGTTTATTTAGACACCAATGACAAACAATGAAGGAAAACATCGTGAGCAAACCTAGGCTTATAATTTCTAATTATAAGTTTGAAATCGCCAACACGCATTGAGCAAGCGCGGTGATTAATGCTCAAACCTTCTCCGTGTGAGAAGAGGCCTTTGGTCTGCAGTGGATACTTATAGGCTGTTGATGACGATGATGATGCACGGTTATGCATGCAGGTATATAATCCAATTTATCATTTTATACTGGTTTTGCGAAGCTCGATGTGCAGCCATATGTATGTTTAAATAGACCCAAGATTTTTTTAAACTGCTACACACAGCTGCTACTACCATGGAAATCCGAAGAACAACATCAGATCTTTGTCATTGGCATTACAAAGAGGGGAGTAGCATCCTTGACCTTTTATGTTTCAAGTGTGAACAACTATTAAAAAAGAGGCTTCGGTTCAGCAGTGGACATAGAGAGTGGAGATAGTAATGAACACAAGACGTGCGTGCCCTATACAACGACATAAACTATGTAAGTACTTATACCATATACTTTTGTTTTATAACAGTTTTTTTGTTTCAGAATCACACTTTGATTTTATGAACCTTCCTTTATAATTGCCATACCAACAAAACACGTAAATAGGTACCTACTATATGTTTTATATAGCAAAAATTTCAAGAACAACCCAAAACAATCATATAACATCCTTTTCAATGTTGTGTAGCAATTTTTCGTTGAAAACTCGCCTATTATGAAGGATGGAAGGTTCCATGGAAATCTACGGCTTTTCTATTTTTGAAACACAAGGCGTGGGCACTCTTGCGCATGCGTCGCGCAGACAGCAACAGATCGAACGCGGAGTAGACTAAACTGCATTACGTGTACCTGGGTATGAATAGTTTATAACATAGGGCTGAAAATAGGTACATAGAATAACATAACGGATGGTTACTTTCCTTTTAAGTACTTTTAATACTAAACTCCTATTTTGTTCATCTGTTGTGTTTGACACGTAGGTATTTTTTAGACTTTTTGTTCCTCGGAAGGGTAGATAAGTGCCTAGGTAGTCATGTAATGGATCTTGTCATAGAGAGAAAGCGCAGTGTCGTCGTGTCGCTCAATAGTCCGAACTCTGCGTTATTGTTTAGTTTTTTGTTTCAAACTCAATAATACCTTGATTACCACTAAACAAACTTGAGCCCTGTTCTTCCAAAAATAAGTTATGAACATTCGACTATCAAACTAAACCTGATTCGGCCAACGAGGACCTTTTTAAAACAAAGATTCTACGACTGCTACACTTCGTCTACTTTTTCAACGATATAATTCCCTTCTAAGAATTGATATCGAACTTCATACTCGAGACGTACTTCTACAGTTGTGACCAACGAGATAAAAGAATTAAGTAATACAAAAAAACATAAAATGGTCATGTAATATGTAACTTTAATGCCTTAGTATTACGTCGTATTACGTAACTGAATTCTTGATGGATTTCACAATAAATTGCGAATTTAATCAACGGAGATTAATTAAATGTGACTTTGATAATGGCTGAGAAACATTTGCTACGCACATTGCAATACTATACGGAATTGTGTTAATTCATTTTGTTATGTAGTATATCACAAATGTAATTGCATTTGTAATTGCTTGTTTGGTTTAATACTTCATTTTTTATTTCATTCTTTATTTAGTTACTTGGAACAATTAAAAATATTTTTAAAGAAAATATTTCAGTCGAGCGTCCTTATTTGAAGAGTCCATGTTTAAGTTTGAGCCGGTTAGGCGAAGTATTAGCAAGGAGTCTTGTGTAAGACAATAGACCCTACAGTCCCTATACATTATGACCCCTTAGGTGTATTATGACCCCTTAGGTGTAATCACTGTATGGACTGCCTCGTTGGCCGAGTGGTCGCAAGTGCGACTGCCGGGCAAGGGGTCTCGGGTTCGATTCCCGGGTCGGGCAAAGTATTACTGGGTTTTTTAAAAATCTCAGTAGTAGCACGGAGTCTGGAAATGTGCCCGGTATATGGCAATAGGCTCACCCCCTATTACATGGGACTCATAACATAAATAGTGAAAAGTGGGTGTTACTTCTATGTGCACCTCTGCCTACCCCTTCGGGGATAAAAGGCGTGATGATGATATGTGTAATCACCTATGACTTAATCAACGACGTTAATGTTATCAAAAATACTAGCTTCAAAGTCGGGTTCATTATATGTAATACATAAAAACGTTCTTCCTGAATCGTATACATTTAAAAACATCAAAATCTAACATAAGATAACATCACGCCTTTTATCCCCAAAAGAATAGGCAGAGGTCCACATTTCAGAAATAATTACCACTGTACAATGTAACACCCACTTTTCACTATTTATGTTATGAGTCCCGTGTACTAAGGGGAACGGGCCGGGGCTCCGGGTCGAAGAGCAGGAGTAGGAACGGGGTGATTTTCAATCAGTAAGAGTTTGAGACTCCCTCTTGCCTAACCCAAGGCGGGAGAAGTCATAGGATGATTTTCCTCCCTCAAAAAAAGGGTAGTGGCTTCAAAATGTGTAGCGTAGTTTTAAAGATCTATCCCGTATCAATCTCTTTAGATTGTTAGGTATACTCATACGTTTATCACAGCAAAATTTTCCTTTAAAACTGCATTGGCCAGACCTTAATACATAATGTAGATGCAGTTAGGTGCTACGAAACTGTTGGACATTACCTAACCAATTACGACACACCTATACGTCCTCTAGCACTTGTGATTTACAACATTCTTGACACTGTTTTAGATAATACTAGTTGCTGCCCGCGACTACGTACGCGCAATCCCGCTTTATCCCGTTCTCGTTCGTGATTTTTGGTAACAAGTAAAAAAAGTATTGGCTAAAAAGTATCATATCATATCTATGCGACCTCCTTACGATTTATCATGGATTTAGCTGTTCTTGAGTTATAAATGATGGAACTAACACGAGTTTCCTTTATATGTATTGTATAGTTATGTTTTAATGGATCTTTGAAAGCTAGACTGCCTCATTGGCCGAGGGTTCGATTCCCGGGTAGGGCAAAGTTTTACTGGGTTTTTAAAAAAAATCTCAGTAGTAGCACGGAGTCTGGAATTGTGTCCGGTATATGGCAATAGCCTCACCCCCTATTACATGGGACTCATAACATAAATAGTGAAAAGTGGGTGTTACATTGTACAGTGGTATAATGTGCACCTCTGCCTAGTCATTCGGATAAAAGGCGTGATGTTATGTTATGTTATGTTATAATTGATCAAAATTTGAAAGCCAGATCAAAATGTTTTGGATTTCCGTATCATCAATGGAAGTTCCAATGGTACCAATGGGCTGATCTGGGGCTACCTGTTGAACGCTGTTGTCTATCCAAATCGAAGAAGAAAAGTGTATTAAAAGAAAATTGAGAACTTTTCCAATAAACCATTGTGTTGAAACCTCCTTCGTACAATTTGAACCATTTTGTGTTTTCACTGGTTTATTATACTATCTTATCTAAATTCAAGTATGTATGTTTCCTCAAATGAAATGTACATTTTAATTGGTTTTTAATCTTAATTATCTAATTTTGTATTGAATTACAGTATCGAACACGTAGCTCTGTGTCAGTCGCTACTAATAACTAATAGTCGTGACCATAAATAAAAGCTTCCTGTCCAGAGCAGCGAGATCAAACATTCATCTAAGTTTCCTAATATAGGGATTATAAATTCTTCTGTCAAAATAAAAAATCTGAATATCTGATAAACCGAATTAGTTAAAATGCAGAAACAAATAAAAATAAGAATACTGTTTAGTTTACTAATTGTAGTTATAAATATAATTAATTAGATTTATAAGCATATAAGGTTCGATGGGACTGACATGTACATTTATATAAAAGTCCCTAAATAAAATAAAGAAAACAAACCAATGCTATCTTTCTGACAGCAGCTTAAGAAATCTAAGAGCGAAGGGAAACTAAAACCTCACGTATTTCACTTCAAAGTGCAGTCTGAATGGTAATATATTATGGTCTGAGTCAGCGTCACTTGCACCATGGAAAGCGAAACTAAGGGAAAGTAGTGGCGTAACTAACCCGCAACCGCGATGGAAACGTCAGTTCATTGCCAAGGGCGTGCAGTATGGACAAGATAATGCCAAGCAAATCCGGTCCCGAGATATATAGCTGAAGCTACTTTCGCTGATCGCTAGATAAGTTCGCTTAGCTTAGATATACAGAGAGATAGACATTAGAGAGATAGATAGACTCATTTTTTATCATGATCAAACACGTGTCTTGAAGAGAGATATTGCGTTTTACTGAATATCGAATAGGTACGATTTTGGACCCTGCATTATTATTATTGTTGAAAGAATTCATTATCCTGTTTTTGGAATATGCTGTCTGACAATAAAATGCAAGATTGTATAATGCTCTTCAGCGCTAATTGCAGTACTCGACCAATTCAGGATACCTTGTTGTTGTTCTAAGGTATGAAGATTAGATAATGTACCATTCATGTCAAGTTGCAGTTTTTCCTTAATAAGGTGGTTCCATACTGTGATAAGTCCGTTTCAAGAAAAAACATTTGCACTATAAATTTTATCTTGAAAATCCTTGAAAAGTTATCTTGTCTTCAAATATACATGCAAATTGATTAAACCTACAATTTATCATAATTCAGGTCAATGTTAAAAACATGATTTCGAAACCAATTAATTAAATTGCAATCTATAACGGATTGAATGATAAAGATACAAGTGGCGATAAAATGAAGACAAGATGCTTCGCCCTGTTGTGATTTCATCGATCGAAAGTTCTAGGGCTCAGGGCATTGCCGGTGTACAGACGACCTACCTTTCAACCCCCGCTACCCCTTTACAACCCTCCAAAGTCCCGATCAATAAACTGCATCCAGCTAACGTGATTGGTCGACCTAAATGATAACGGATTAAATTGGATGCGCGCTCGAACACCGCGAGTGTATTTCATTAAATGTTGCTGTGATTTATGCATTCGGACTTTTTGATTACTTACTGTAAAAAATATATTTTAAATTATCAAAATTTGAATGTGTTATTAACTTATTAATTTAAAACACGTTTTCAGTAGTAGGAAAGTTAACGCCCCAAAATAAAGTAAAAGTGTTAAATAATGGTGATAATACAGGGTTCACACCACTTAGAGTAGGTATCAAAGAAGTATAGCACAACTAGGGACTTTCCTAAATCTGTACATCGTCATTCCAAATGAACTCAATACCGTAGCAACTTGTTGCATGTACTTTCATTCAGTGTATGTAAGGGTGACATTCATTTCCGTTAGATTTCAGTTTCTAATGGAATATCTTACAAGTACTTACTTATTTTTTTATCTTAAGCTACCATCAACTTCTTTTATAATGTAGAGAGTGTTTTTGGAAAATGTGTGGGAAACATAGAAAAGATGCTTCTTGACTGGAAGGATTTTCATGTCATTTTTAACGTTATAGGTCTGTGTTTTTATAATAACTATCGTGAGACATACTAAATTCACTATAGTAGGCTGCGCGACATCGCCGCGACCGCGCACGCAGATCATGAGGAAGAACCCCTCTGTGGTTCGAAACTAGTAGAGCTTTTGTCAGTATATTCACATGAGTAACCCGCGATTTTTAGTTAAGTTATAGGTCTGACTTTGAACATTAAAGAGTACATGAGCCCCATGGTCCACCAGTGGCTTAATGATCATAATATTATGAATCCTAACATAGCTTACCATAAATAGGTCCAATAATAACGCACATCACGATGACCAGCATAGTGACCCTCAGTCTACGGTTGTTCGGTCCTTGCTTGAAGGTCACCATAACAGTCTCCTTCACATATCGAGTGTCGAAGAAATTCCGCAGCCATTCGCAGAGATTGGCAGCTGATTTCTGAAAATAGGAAAATTAAGAGGTTAATGCTCGCTCACACATACATACATAACCTCCACCATTCTCCCATAGGGTAGGCAGAAACTATGGAACGCCAATTGCTACGATTCTTACATACTTCTTACGCTTCATCAACAGTCATCAGTCTTTTCATGCTCAACGGTTAAAAGTACTTTCAATTTGGCCCTTCTCTAATATGTATATTGCCAATCTGGTCGATATATGTCTGTCTAGGGTGCTGTCACCGATATATTTCACCAACGCCTATCAGGTGACATTTAACGACATTGCGTTTTCATCAATCTATAAATGACATCTAACAGCAAGTAACAGGTTAGTTTAGGTGGTACGTCTCACTAAGTGACTTTTAGTTAAGAGATGGTTTAGGAATTTTTGGTGAAAACGGTCATAATAAAGTGATACTATTACACGGTGATAACAGTGGGTGAAACAGCTGCATTTCCACCACTAAATTCCCATGAAGACAAGGCAATTTACTATATAGTTCTTCTAGAACTAAGTGCAACGTTTTTTTTTTAAATTCAATACCTACACCAATATACAATTTAATCCAGTGATAGCAAATATTTCTGACACAGTTCAATAGTATGCTAAGATAGATTTTTGATCACTTTTGATGAAATTATTCTCCATAATTTCGTAATATAATACATTAAAAAACATGAAACAAAACATTTCATTACATTTTTAATCTTTTCAACTTCTCGATGAAAATGAAAATAAAAATTGTGAAAGACTTCGCTTTTAAAAGTCGGCCATACAAGTGTTCCAGACGAAAGCTTACAAAGTAAAAATAAATAATCAATACGGCGTTCGGTGATGTTTTCATCCAGAACTGAGTGGAAATGTACCGGAGAATTTTATAAAAATATAATAAGTATTTTTGTATTTTTTTTTTTCAAAATTGAAGTTCATCGAAGTTAAGAAATGGTTCAGTTATATAGAGCTGTATAGCGTTTTACATATCTGCCGTTTGTTAAGTACTTATAAAGACTTTTACCTACTTAAAACATGACAAATAAGTATAAAATATATACCAAAGGGTTTATAGTATTTCATTTCGTACATGGGGTACATAAATGAAGACTTTTCTTCTTAAGGCTTCAGCATTTTAAATAAACTCAAAGATTTCGAATACAGGATGAGCAGACGTGTTCTGGATCTCGCAAACATCCTTGTATTTGCTTTTACAGCCTCCATGATGATAAAAATAAACAAATAGGCCAATTTAATAAGAGGCTTAAGTACTCGATATTTTCCTTCTCTGAGCATGTTATTGACGTCAACACAAAGTACCTTCAGTGGAAAAATTGTATCAGTATTGATTTAAAATGGAGATTCTTAATTCTGTTGTTATTTTTTCATTAGCGTGTAATGAATAGCAAGCATATCATTATCTTATATTATCATCACTATTGGTCTATTGCCACGAACTGTTGCTCTGCAATAGTTTGCTGCAGAGTTCAATTTTCTTATTCTATGCGCATAACGATTGTCTAGATTTAACTCGAGGGCTTAGTAAATACCTAATAGAATTAGGTTTATATTTATTAATAGTATCTATGTATTTATTATTAGGATTGATACTATCCTTTTTCTATTGAGTTAAGCAACATCATGACTAGCAGTATTTATGTATTTATTTTGAACCTTATAACTGTAGAATTTAGATATCATAATATCTTGTTACTATTTCTGATTTAAGAAATTGGGGCCCACGACGTTCAAATCCAAATAACGATTCACAACACAGATAAGGTTTTTGAGTAGAATTTGTTCAAAGTTAGTTGTAAAATACTGGAATTCCCAAAGTCTTAAAGTTTTAAAGGAACTACAAATGATCTAACAAGCCTCACTTTTTTACAGCTTATTTTTTAAATAGCATCATCAATCAGTTACGGCCCTGATGCTTTAAAGACGTAGACGATCTTCTAAAAAAATATTGTATCTTTCCTAAGGCCGCGTTATGTCTAACTAACTTGATGAGTTCATTTGCGGAACTCAGAAATCTTTCATCGCAAAATTGCGAAAAAATGAAATGCAAAACTCTGTAGTTTGATTATGGGTATCGAATTATGAATAAGGAACTAACTGAAATATAAATTTAGTGAAAGTTTATAAGGACATTATAAATACACTGCATACAATGTGTTTAGTTATCTTTTCACGTCAAAACTAGGTTTATTTGCTTTGAATTAAAGACAAGGCATAGTAGATGTCTTTACCAATCACGGGGCTACAGGTTCCCAGTCATTTGAGAGGCATACGAGTAGCCGAAGCCAACTGCGCAGAGGCCCTTTAAACAACTTTAATTAACTATGGAAATGCACTATGCCAATCCCCGGTTAGTCTAAAACTATTATAGATAATAGAAAAAAAGATGGGCTATGAATGGGTTGCTATGTTTACTGGTAAATTGGAAATTATGAATGACTATGGCACGTGCCGAAATAATGTAATTATAACACGTAAAAATGGCAGGCGGAGAGTCGCTAACTCACCGACGCGGACCCCGGGAATGGTTGCTAAGTATAGCAACAGAGGGACAAGACAATAGAAATGTGAGTGGCTAAAGGGTGAAGAAACTACCACCACTTCCTACTCAGATCAGAATGATAGATTATTGTCATAGTCTTATATAATACATAGGCTTCTTTTTATCCGACATAAGTTACGCAGTTGTGTTGCCAATTTTTTTTTGGCAGACTTGTTTTGATAACTAAATGTTTGCCAATATAACTCATTGAATTGGTATTATTAGTAGTCATACAAATGAGGAATATCGATCAACTCTTGAAAAATTACATAGGTATTTCGATATATAATAAAAGAATACCAATATAATCGGCCTCGTATTCGCGCAGTTAATTTTAGTCGATCTTCATTGAAAAACATCTTCGATAGACCTTCTTAAGACGCAAACGTGCTACCGATTATACAAACGACATCGTTTACACGCCATGATGAACAATTACGTTTTTTCTCATGGATATCAAGTATGAAGTGCGTAAACGCGGAGGCTGTTCTGTGGTCAATTAAGTATTCATTGCAGTCATTCGCAAAGTCATATGAACAAATTTTTATTATGATGTTAAGTTACAAGTCCCTAATGGCATGACTCGTATGATGTAATAAATACAAAACCTCTTCAGACCAACCTATACTTTGGGCTTCGTTTATGTTGATAACATATTTATATTTCAATTACATAAGCAAACTAAATTAAAAAACGTAATAATAATTTGTTAAGATAAAAAAGTTTTTCATTTTAGTTCATTTTTTAGTCCATTATGACGTAATTATTATTCACTGCTTACTATCAAGGACGTTAAAAATGTCTACAATAATATTTTTCAGCTCCCTAATTACACTTATCTAACGAAACGGGTGTAATAGTCAAAATACCTACTTAATATCCTGGAGGTAAGCTATGACTATATTTTGTTTTCTAGATCTAATTTTTACTTACGACTTTTGATCACTCAATTTCGACTATCCAAGATTGAAGGGGAAAAGTTAAAGGTTTTATACAAATTACTATAGAAAAATAAGTTTATATTAAAATTGTTAAAACGTGCGCGAATCTTTTAGCGTTGGACACAAACATTTTGGCGTATTGGTTCTTTTGGGCCAACATTTGCTGTTGGCATATTTAAACGCGTATCTTTTTCTTATTCTATTTCTTTACTGGGCAAAGGTCTTGCTAATTTCGTCAGCAATTTTATTTACATCCACTTTTTTACTATATTATGTGCGTATATAAACTTTTCAGTAATTGCAAAAAACGTGGTTTCCCTTAAAACGACAGGACGAACGATAATGTAATCCTCATTAGTAGTTAATGTAATTATATTTTGATAAAGTGCAGTAACTTAGAAATTATAACTTAGAAATTTACTGATTAACAGTAAAACTGATTAATACTTATCTTTAAATATTAAGCACAATAAAAATACTTGTACGAAATCCAGATCTGGATTAAAAAAACTAACTTGCTTGTGTAAACCTTCACTTCACTGAAAATACTACTAAATAGATCGATTAATATGCAGTCTTTATTGTGTACATATATAGGAATGAATCTATATATTTCAAGTAATATAATAAAGTTTACTTATGTATCTGGGTCTCAAAAACTAAACTGTAAAATAGAATGACTCTTTGAACATTACTTGATTGATTGACTAGTTCTAGACCTCAGTTATGTTAGGCGTGCCATTGAGCCTCATTACGTAAGACACGTGAGGTGAATGTATCGGTTATAGAGATAATATCATACATAATATGTGTTGGCCATGGCTTAGCAAAACGAACTAGTGAAGGGAATACCTACATGTAGGTATTATTTTGACGTTTTCAAAGTACTTAAAACATGTGTTTATGTAATTTACAATAAAATGGAGGATATAGGATTGACTCATGAGCTCTTCTAACTACTACAACTAAGTACGTAATAGAGGAAATCCTCATGATAGACAATAATAACTAAGATTAGAAGATATTTTTCTTACGAAATCTTGTGGAAAATGTAAAAAAATTGTTAAAAATAGGTCTAAGACTTAGGATTTATTTTTAAGACAGATGAGGCCCAGTAGGGCTGATGCCCAATATGCAGTCGCGGAAGGCCTAACGGGTTGCCTGGGCTCTTGCTCGAAGAGCAGGAGTAGGAACGGGGTGGTTTTTAGTTAGTAAGAGGCAGGGAGAAATCATCGGATGATTTGCACCCTTCAAAAAACTTTGGATTTGTAAAAATAATTATAGTACCACACATTTTTGCATTAACCTACCCTTTGAATAATATCACGCCTTTTATCTCCGAAGGGGTAGGCAGAGGTGCACATTACGACACTTAATGCCACTATACAAGGTAATATCCACTTTTCACTATTTATGTTATGAGTCTCATATAATAGGGGATAAGCCTAATGCCATATCTCGGGCTACTACAGAGAATTTCTTTTTAAAAACCCAGTAATACT